TGGCACTAAATCCATCATGGCTTTGTCCATCTCTGACTTCAGAGGGCATAGCCTCCACATCCAGATCCTCTTTTCCTCCAGAGCTTTTAAAGGTTATTAGTTATCAGCATACCTTTTATCTGGTCAGGGCCTGACAACAATGACACAGACACATCACTCATCCTCTGGGATAAACAGAGGACTCATTGGGCACACTTTAGACTTTCTGTATTTAGCCATCAGCCCATCCTCCTCTCCTTCCCCTGCCGCCAGGCCAGGAAATCACTAACAAGAACACAAACAACTTTTGTACCTGTCATTAACTGCCTTACTGAAGAAGCAATTCCACAAGTGCTGGTTTGGCTTTTCAGATGTAAGGATCATGTGAAGGAAGAGAAAGCAACTCTGTAACTTAAGCAGGAATTCTAGATATCCAGGATATAGATACAGAAGTGACAAAACTGTACCAGTACCCAAAATCCATTACAGGATTGCTGAAAGGGCAGAATTCATAAGGAAAAAGGGAAAACATTACATTCCCCATCAAGGGGCTGGGTCAGTGGTGAGGCTGAGAGGATCAGCAAGTAAAGGACAACTCTGAGAGACAACACAGCTAATCATGACAGAGACTGTCATAAAGGTAACTTAAAACCAAACAAAAATACCTTGTATAAGTTCCAACAGTAAACTAACCTGTAAAACGTCTGAGTTTTGGGGCCCCTCCTTACAAAGCTCAGACAGTCTCACACTGTCAGACTTCATTTTTCAGGCTACTCAAAACAATTTACTTAAGTTACTCATTTCCCCCCTAAATGACTGCAGCAGAAACAAAGATATGTGATTCATTACTGCAAGTTTTGTTGCTTGTGTGTTAACAAATCACTGAAAACCTGTATTGCTCTGCCAGCCTATATAAAAACCAAGGCAGAATCCCAAAAAAATCTTGAGTTAGCTGGAAACAACAGAGCAGTTTTTAATACCTGCTACAGGATTACTTGGATACTAACTATTCCAACACTGGGACTCAGAAAGGCACTTACAGATTTCAGATATTACCATAAAACCCAACTGAGGAGCATCAGAAATGCCTTCTGAAACAAGAGTATTTGTTAAGACAGGCCTGAGATCCCAAAGGACCTAGGACTTGCTAATGAGGTGTGTGCAGATGGAAGAGCACCCAGCACCCCTTCTTCATAAAAACCAAACCAGACAGTAAGTGTAGTGGCACTGGCCATGAAAAAAAACAGGAATTTCCAGGATAAGGAAGTTACACATCACCAGTCACAGAACTGACACAGCAAATAAGGAATTTTCCAGATAACCAGATGTCGCTGTCGAGGCAGGACAGGAATGAAGAGACTCTGCTCAGAAGGCTGCTGAGAGTAAAACTCTGGTTTATTCAAAATACACTGCTCTTTTATTACAGAGCTTTGTGAGGACCAACTCCATTGGTCCTGAAGTGAAAACAACTCACAGCATTGGTGCAGAGTGCTTGACGCACAGTGATAGAACTTAACTATAAACAATGTAAAAACCAAGAGAGATAGAGAGCTATTTACATTCTTCTCCAGCTCTTTCCCAGGCTTCTGCCTGGATAGAAACTCTCAGTTTCTTCCTTTGACTGAATCTGAGACCCACAACCACAATGATGTCTCATACCTTTGCCATATTCTTACAGAATCCCATTTTACTTTGCTTGGAGCACCTTTTGCTTGGGAGAGACATTGGGACATCCTTAATCCTTGGGTAAGAGGAAAAATATGGAGATTAACTCAGTGCTAGCAGCAGGTTTTGGGGTGCCTTGCAGGAATGACAAAGACACGGAGAACAAAGGGCTCACACATCTCTGCTATGTGCACTTCTAGAATCCTAAAAAATTAGGTTGGAAGAGCCCCACAGGCTGACTGGGACTTCTTTTGGTCCACCAAGGACACAGGAATATCTGGGACAAGCACTAACAAGCAGAAATAGCATAAACAATGATGTTAAGTCCTATTCATCTTCCAGACTCACAGAGATCTTCCACTCTAAAACCAAAAAAAGAGCCCAACACCACCTGTGCCAAGGGGACATGTGAGAGCTGCAGAGCCTGACAGACAAACTTGTCAATGTTTGTCAAAGTGAGCCACAAGAAAAAAGGACTTTTGGCTGTAGGACCTTGCCAGGAGCTTCATTTGATGGGTTGGTTCCTGTAGCTCAGCCTTAGCTAAGCAGGACCACCCCATAACCCAAAAAATGACCACAGCTTTCTCCAAGTAGCTGAACCCCAAAAGGCTGAAATAAGGCATTGAAAGAAAGCTTCCCCTCTACCTCTGGCTGTGGTTACTTTCCTCATCTTTCCCTTCCTGCAACTGAGTCTTCACAAAATGATGGAAAATATACTTGCATTAAAAAAAGATATAAAAGCAGAAGAGAAGAAGAAAACACCAGGCCATGGTTACTTAAACCTGCTGTCAGCACTTCAGCCATAAGAAACATTGAAATGTTCAGGGCTTTGTCTGAGTTAATTCCTCTCTGAGAGCTTCTGCTGAATCTTAGCAAGACATATGCACGGATATTTTGATTTAAAAAAAATGAACCAAAATCAGTAAGAGGAATAATAAAGGGGGTTCAGACAGTCAGAAACTATTGTTCCACTTTCAGTCAGCAGAAAACAGCTCAAGTGTATGAACTGCAGAAATGTCTGGATCCTGAGCTGAAAAGGCTTTAAAAAAAAAGTCTTTCTTAAGGTAGCTTTCTTTCAGAAGAGACAAAGGCAGATCCCAGCTGGAGAACAGAGGCTCTGGGTCACTCAAGGGCTGCGCCAGCCCCACGAGATTCTTCAGACCTGCATTTCCCCAAGGACTTCCCCAGAGCTCTGAATATAAACAAAAACTGGGTTTCAAATCAACATCCCAGCTTCAGACCCTGCTCCAGTTTTACTGAGCCAGCAAAAGATGAGTAAATGAGGGAAGAAGAGTTCAGCTGAGCACCACCTCTCACATTTTCCTGATATACATGGGTCAGGATAAACCCTTCTCTCAACTCAAGAGATATTTCATCTCTGAATTACTGTGATTTTTAAGAGGCTGAGGTCATTAGAGCATTCCCTGGGAAAGGAACAACACAAACCCACCAGACACTCATGTGAAAGCTCCTTAAGTGTGAACAAACACATCAAATGTGAAGCAAGGAAAAAAGGTTTGAGATCAAGTCAAAAGAGATAAAAGCTGAAGAGAAGTCATGTTGCATAATGCTGGGGACAGAAATAGGCCTGATTTGCCTAAATCAATGAGAGCTATGAACAGGAAAATCAGGGCTTTAGTAGCAGGAACTAAAGGAAAAGTTAAGTTTGGCAGAACAGAACCACCAATGTTTCAGTGGAAATGAGTATCAGCCTGGTGCTGTTCTCAAGGCTGCAGGCAGGGAGGCAGTAATGATCCCTTCATATTTGATAACTTACCCAGACATAAATATCTTTTATTGTCCCCAGTTATAAATAACCTATTAGAAAAGCAACTACTATTAGCCAGGAAGATTCACAATTGACTGAAATCAAAACCTAAATTGTCACAGCAGAAATTGAAGAACAAGTATCATGAAACTGAAAAGAAAAACCTCATTTTTTCTTAAAGAGGGAAGTGGGAACTCGTGGAAGAAGCACAGGTCAGAAATACTTCAGTGCCCACCCCTGGAGTGAACAGTAGAAAACCAGGGCATAGAATAATCTCTGCTTCTCTTGCCTTTACATTCAAGTTACACCTGATTTTTCTTCACCTTAGAAAGTATTTTATTCATTTCAATTTGCAGAGGCACTGAGAAACTGACCCAGTTCACAAAGAACATTGTCTTCAAGCAGACTATTCCCCCTGCAAAGGCAGGGCCACACCACCTGCTTCAATGGCCAGGAAATGGAGGCAGTCAACCAGGCAATAGCCTTCACAAAAATAAATAATCAGTCCTTGGGTCAGTTTCTTACTTTGATTTGTAAATTCCAAATTAAAAAGGAAATAAATTCAGTTCAAATTACAATAAATGACTTGATAAGAACTTAATAAAATGCTGATCACACAACCTGAGCATGTGAGCAATGATACACCAGCCTGAAGTGACAGAGCTCTGAATACTGTTGTCCTGCTAGGATGGGAGACATCTTCTTGAGCACAAATCCTGGTTTCCAATGCAAATAAAAGCCTGGCTTTGCTCAAGCCAGGTTGAGCCTTGGAGCCTGATTGCAGTGATGGGCACCATTTCCATCTTGAGTCAGCTCTACCTGGGAGCTGAGACAGACCAGCAAGTCCCCTGTTGCTGTCCTTCTACTGATTTTATACAAAAGAACCAAATTATGAAGGGTGATGCTTAAATTCAGATTATGTGACTAGGAGCAAGGGGCTGAGAGCTGCTGTTAAAACTCAGGGTAATGCAAATTAAAAAGGAGACTAAATTCAGAAGAGATGGGCAACACTTTTTATAAAACATCCAAGAGTGAACAACAGAGGTCACATAATAGAGACCACCTATTTAGGAGGATTCAAACAGGCCTTGAACACTTTCCCATCAGAAACATTCAAAATAATGAAGCAAACAGAAAAGGTGGGGAGAAAAGCAAAGATTAAGAGTTTTGGGAATGTTATAAATCTTGGTCCTTTAGGGCCCAGCTCACTGATTAGGAGTGAGACCAACCTTCCTCAGCAAGGTAGCAACAGGTAACTCACAACCTCTGTTGGTTTTCCCTTTAATCACCTCCAGCAGCAGCGCCAAGGTAACAGGCAGGCTTTTAGAGGGACACACACCCAGGATGTGAGAGCTGCTGCTCCAACTCCACAACAGCAGCCACCAACAAATGCTGGAGACGTTCCTTGGGGAGTGCCACAGTCAACTGAAATGCTCACCAGGAATTTAACAGCTTGGCTCTGCAAGTCACAGCTATGCAAATTCCCTCTGTACCCTTTCCAAGCTCTTGCTCCTCCTCCAGAAGCCCCACCCTGCAGCACAGTCCATGCTGCACTGCCCTCCCCTGCACAAAAAAAAGCACCCCAAACCTCAAGCTTCAGGATGTCGTGCTGCAGCTTGCGCTGGAAGTCCAGGAAGTGGGAGATGGTGAGCTTTCCCTTCAGGTCAGCCCCGAAGAAGTAGGTGGTGAGCGCCGAGTTGAAGCCGGTTTTGAGGGTGTTGCCGGTGGTGGAGCGGTCCCGGTGGCGCATGCCCATGCTGGTTTGGGAACGGATGATGCTCTGCACCTAAAAATCACAGGGAGGATGGCACAATCAACACCATACCAGCAAAGTGGCATCCTCCTTTCTTTTCCTCTTCAAACAAATCTCTGGAGATACAAAAATTCAAAGATTTGGCTGAACTTAAGAGAATCACAGAATGATTCAGGCTGGAAGTGACCTTAAAGACCATCTAGTTCCAAAACCTTTCTGTGGGCAGGACCACTTTCCACTAGACCAGCTTGCTCCAAGCTCTGTCCAGCCTGGCCTTGAACACCTCTAAGAATGAGGAGTCCTCAACTTCTCTGGCCAACCTAGGTTTTGGTTTTTTTCAGTCCATTTTAAAGAAAGAAAAGAATCAAGTGCTTAAAATGAGTTTTAGGAAACAATTCAGCCAGTTTGCAGATAATCATTCTACTGCTGATCCCACCCCTGGTCAGCAGAGCATCTTCTTCTCAGCAAAATCCCAGGAGGTGGGGAAGCTGCAGCAATCACAGAATTCACAGAATGATGAGGTTGGAAGAGACCTTCAAGATCATTGAGTCTAACCCAGCTCCAACACCTCAACACATGGTACCCTGTGCCACATCCAGTCTGTTTTTAAACACATCCAGGGATTGTGGGGAAGAAAAAACTCTTCACATGTTTTAGAGCTTCCACTCCTTTACTGCCCATCCTTGTGAGCTTACACCAACCCCAGTCAGCAAACAGCACATTTCTTCCCACTCATGCACAAATCCTGGGGTTCTCAACCCAAGGGCCTCTCCTTGCTGCCTGTTGTTCTCTGTGACAGCTGGAAGTTCCTCCATCCCTGGGGGCTGTGCCACCCAGCACAAAACGCTCTTCAAAAGAACTACCCTACCACACAAAGGCTGACCTTGAAGGATGTGACAGCCTGAAAATCCAAGAGTGTGTTATTTTAAGGGTTCTGTGCAAATTTAAGGGGGCAGCCAAGCCTAATGCAGCCATATTCTCCTCAAGTATCTCATGGACATGACTGCATTTGGTTTGGGAGTAGTGAAACCCTCAAATAGCTCACTAAACTACCAAGGTGATCTGAGTGATTATTGCTGGATTGTGAGAAGGCAGGCTTATTCTCTGTGTACTAATTGATGTCTTCCAACAAGGCAGCAAAAGGGTTCATATTAAAGACAAGAAGTTTGAAAAAGGAGGGGGAAAAAAGCCACCTGACAACCCAGACTTCCCAAAGCTCCAGCAAACACTGCTCCTTTGCCATCAGCCTCTTCCCCCGGCAGACAAAAATTGGAAGGGAGGAAGAAAAGCAGCTGCCAAGAGCTCCAGCTGTCACAAGGATGCCAGAACCTCATTATTGTGGTATTCAGTGTGTTCAACTTTTTCCTAATGAGAGAGTGAGTGCTGGAGCAGCCCCAAAGGGGATGCTCTGGAGGAAAATGCTGTGCTGCTGCTCCTGCGTTCACCTTGTTGTAAACGCTGCATCCCAACCAGAGACTACTGGCTGTTCTTCCACAAGGAAAATCAAGCTGAAGAGAAAATCAAGAGGGAAAAAAATACAGAAAAGAAGTTTTGAGGCTTTCGGGGTTACTCTGATGTGAGGAAGGATGTGGGGTGACCTAATTGTGGCCTCCCAGTGCCTGAAGGGAGCTGCAAGAAACATGGAGAGAGACTATTAACAAGGATAATGGCTTTACACTGAAAGAAAGGAGCTTTAGACTACATATTAAGAGGAAATTCTCTGTGTGGGTGGTGAGGCCATGGCAGAGGTTGCACAGAGAAGCTGTGGCTGCCCATTCCTGGAAGTGTTCAAGGACAAGCTGGATAGAACCTGGAGCAACCTGGGATAGAAGAAGGTGCACCTGCCCATGGCAGGGGGGTTGGAATGAAATAATCTTTAAGGTGCTTTCCAACCCAAACCGTTCAGGAATTCTCTGATTTTTGCACTGTAAATAGCAACTCCTTAGTTAGCTTTGTGCTTCACTGTTAACTGTGAGCTCTGCATGCAGCACAGTTTGGAGACAAATATTTATAAACTGTCTGAAGCAAGGCAATTTAAGGCCAGCTTGGAAAACTGCCCCTGTTTCTACATGAGTGTTTGCCACACTGCAGACTGCTCCACAGAGCAGCTTTTCCTGGGTGTTATTTATATGGAATCCTAGGCTGTCTTTTCCTCTCCCATCTGTAACAAAGTGTTACACAGGTTGAAAATCCACCTGTGGGCGCTAGAGCCAAAATGATATAACTAGTCTCTGTTTTGGGTAATCCTTTCAATGCCCAGAAAGGCAGGCACCACTGCAAGGAGCTGCCCTCACCCACAGCTCATAAATTGTGCAAGGACATGGAGCTCTGAGGTGCTCCATGATTTGTTCATATTTCAGCCTAAGTGTTTATCATGTTTCATCTTTTGTACCAGATGAGGAGGAAGAAAAAAATTAAAATACTTAAAGAGAAATCACCAGTAACACTGCCTGCAAGTTTTCTACTTTTTAGCCAGCTTTTCTTTAAAAACAGAGGAGTATACCAACAATTTACATGCCAAAGGATGAAGAATTGAAGCAATACTGATGCAGGCACCACATTATTCAGGACTAAGAACTAACCACGTGCTGCGACTGCATAAAATATCTGAAATCCTTCAGCAAGGCCTGAAGAAATGAAATGGGATTTTATTAAGAAGTTAAAGCTTAGTCACATATTAACTAAATGTCTGCAGTAATTTTCTTTCCTGATGAGGTTTACAAACAGCAGTGATAAGAGGACCTGCTGTTGGCTGCCTCCAAAGAGAAGGTGTGAGGGAGGAGCAGAAAGTTCATTCCCACATGCTCACAGCCAGCAGGGATAGAATGATGCTTCCCTGATGGTCCTTTTCTTCCCCCTCTTTTTGCACCCATTCTTCCCAAAATGATGTTGCTCTTTTCAACTGCTGCATAATCCCCTGAGAGGGCCAGTTCCAGCTGCTCCTGCTAGGTAAGATTAACAGGACAGAGCTGCAAACTCTGCCTCCTGCATGCTCTTCCCAAGGCATTTCCATAAGGAGTGAAAAAGAGGATTTATCATATAAACAATTGTTTGTAATGTTTTATGTTTGCATAATAAGATATATGTGCCTCCCACTGGAGCTGTGTTTGTTCTTGCAGCAAATCAGTATCTTCACAGATATCTTCTCACTTTCCAGAATAGCTCCTTCATCCTCTTACTCTCAGCCTTCACCCAAATATTCTGATGCTAACCAGGAACTTTATTCCTTTCTATACAGGCAGTGACACATGTAACCAGCTTAACAAAAATACCTTCCCCTTCCTAAGGATATTTATGTGACTTAATGCATATATAACTTCCCCTGGCTTACTAGATGATTTGAAATAATTTAATTCAATTTTGTGTCCTCATCTTCATAGTGATTAGGAAACATTCGTCCGGTAGAAATGTTCCCTTTTCATTTTATGTGACTCTAATAAAAAAGCAAACGTGACATCTGTGTTAGTACCTTGGCGTCACTGCATTTTTAGTAGGAGGTTAATTGTTCTCTGCTTTTCTTAAATTCATCTACCTCCATAATTGATTTCATTTTAGAACATTACAACTACCATAAATCACCTTTTGGACTGTTCAATATGATCACATAGCTGCAGTGGAGTGCTAATAGCATGCACTGTGCAGACAGAAGGAAGAACAGAGATTTTTACTTGGGGGAAGGAGGGAACATGAACAAAACCCCAGGTCTACATTTCAAGCTGTCAAGTGAAGTGATATCAGACTGCAGATCAACACACTCCAGTCTCCTCAGTGTCCAAAGTGTGCATCTTACCCAGATATATTCTATGGCTCTGGAGCAAGCTCATGATGATGACATCATACACACAGGTAATAATTTAAGGAGGATGACAGCAAAAGATTAGAAAGGGAAGGTAATTCAACTGACCTCCTTTGCCACTAGTTCTTCCCATTTATAGCAAGTGCCCCAAGCATGACCTTGTAGAGACTCTTCTGCAGTTAATTACTCATTGAGCCAACTCATGAGTAGGAATCTGTCCCTGGATTCTCCAGGGCTGCTTTGTTCTTCGGTAGCACTTTGTAAATGCATTTAAGTTTCCTGTTATGAATAGCACACACTGGTGATTCAGGATGTCATTTCAGGGTGTATATAAGTTCCCAATATCTTAAGGCTAGAAATAGGCAAGAAAAATCACGCTCTTCTGCTGGGGGAGGGCAAATCTTTTCCCCACTGACAGCTCAAGCCTTCAATCTATTCTCACTTGGACACAGCCATAAATCACAGCTTACAGGAAGAGCTCACCAGTATCAGACACGAAGGCTAAACTCATTAAAAAACCTGCAGCAAAGATCCTGTTGATGAAGCCTTGTAAGAAGTAGAGGACTAATGAAAATATGTTCTCAATAACGTGTTTTTGGATTACACTGGAATAAGTGGATAAATTCTCCTCTGAAGCAGACTTACTTTGGCTATTCTCTGAAGACAAAATTAAGGAATACAGTAGAAGCTGTGAAGGCAGTAGGATCAAAATCCCATTTTATCAGTAGAGTGAAAAAAAGTTCTTTCTTAAAACTGACTTTCTGTAAGGACCTTAAAGATCATCCAGTTCCACCCCTTGCCACAGGCAGGGACACCTTCCACTAGACCAGGATGCTCCGAGGCCCATGCAGCTGGCCTTGAATGTTGGTGACAAAGTCACAGGAAATCTCAAATTCTGAATCTGTACTGCTGGCTGTCCTGGTTGAATGAAAAATTTTCTCTAAGCACCAAAATAAAACATAGAGGAATGCTGTGCTCATGGCTAAGATGCCACAGCACTGATTGTTCAACTTGCCTGCTCAAACTCTTCCATGTCCACCTCGCCGTCACCGTTCAGATCAAACATCTTAAAGGCGATTTCAAAATTCCTCTGGGGAGCTACATGAAAAACCCAACAAAACATAAAAAACAGTTAACAAAGATAAAAAAGCTCAATAAAAATTGAGCACAAGTTCTGAATTACTTTATCTGAAAGCAATTTTGCCAAATTCTTTCAATTTTAGTGAGGAAATGCAGCTCTAAGGAACCTCTAACTATAAGCTTCATGGTTCTCTTTTTACCAAAGATCTTGACAAGGAGTTGTAAGGAGGAGATATTTCTGGAACATTTATTCTATTTACAGGTGGAAAAAGCTGGAAAGCAAGATGCCATCTGGTATTTCTAATGACAATTAACAGAAAATGATGCTGCAGCAAGAACTCCAGTCTGTTCCATGCAGTTGAACACCAGTTTGGCCAGAGGATGTTCCTCCGGCACTGCACTCTCTGTGCTTCCCATGGGTGAGGAGCATATCTGGAATCTGGACAGTTCTCAGCTCTTGCCTCCCTGTACAAATTTCAACAAATCCTGACCACCCTGTCTCAGCCCAGTCATGATACTGAGATGAGGTGTGGGCTGGAGCTCACGAGCTGAGACGCCACCGTACGTTATTTATCATTGCATTTAGTCTGTGCCGTCATGGTTTATTCAGTCAGAACTGCAAAAGCAACACTTCCCAGCCAGCCACGCTCTTTTCCCTACATCCCACCACAGAATTCCAGTACATTTCCATTTTGGGCTCTGTAACCCATCACTGTTTGAAGCTACAACACAGCGCCAAAATTTTTTCCAAATTAAGTTAATATATGAGGAATTATCATGCTCTGCTACTTTCAAATACACACCTCCTACAGGATTTGTGGTGTTTGCTGGGATTTCTAGGGAATCCTCTAGCTTATAACTAATGCTAAGGCTGTCATCTTAAGAGATCAGTTAAAACTTAGCTCCTTTTTTCATTTCCCAAATCTAATGTAGATCACTGGTGAGGTTCAGCCCTCTTTAATCTCATCTGTGCAATCAACTTTTAATATTTCCAGTGGATGCTCAGGGTATAATGAGTTTTTGCATCCACCCTTCTGTGGGAAGGCACTTCCCAAACAGGGGTGGGAGAGGGGAGACAAAGAGGAATCACTCAGACAAAAGGAAATGAATATGCAATTAACTGGATTTTGGATGTTTGTTACAGCTCCAGTTCAAAACCTTCACATCGTGTTTTCTCCTTACTGTAATAAAGACTATCACTTTATGAGGAAAAGATGCAGCAGACAGGTTAATGAGACCTCTTTTCCCAAACACTTTGTGCCCAAAATAGATAAATGAGGGCATTTGGGCTGATGGCAGGGCCAGCTTGTCACTACCTGCTTGATATACACAGCACACGTGGTCCCGCTGTTATCATCCCTGCACTTCCAATTTCCCCCTGCCAATTACTCGAGCTTGGAATTCCAGATACCACGTGCAGGAGCAGCATCTCCTGTGACCACACCACGTGCTGGGTCATCCCCCACTTCCACCCACATCCCTGCTGTGCCTCCACACAGCTCCTCCCTCCTGCCTGCTAGGAGGGGGAGATCTTCACTCCCTGTCCCTCATTAACTCAGTGTTAATTGACCTGGGGACAGCCAGTCCCCAGCACCACTTTCATAATCTCTCCAATGATACATTGAATTTAAGGGATTAAGACTCCTCTGTATCTATCCAGCATCTCCAGTGATTAATTCCCCATTTTCCTGAAGAGCAACAAGCTTCCAACTACCCCCTTAATATTTCAAGAACACATGCAATTTTATTCACTTTAATTGCAAGTACTTCATGAAAGCCTGGAGGCAATTTCTTATTAGGCCCAAAATCTGGCACTCTGGAAATGGTGTTTCCTCTACGAGGAAGGGGAGGAACAGAAGAAACTCTCATCTAGTTACAAGGTTCTAGAAAAAGAGTAGTCAACAAATATTTCTTACCCCATTTTCTCTACCAGAGTATAACAATGTTTATTTAAAAATTGGGAAATTTGTTACTCCTTGTGAAAAACTGTTACATGTTGAGGTTTTTTCCCCTTTTTTAAGGAAATATATAATAGCCCATCCCATTTGTGCAGACACACGGTGAACAGAGTAGAATATGCACTTCTCCCTCACAAGGCCATTTCTCTCCTTTTCCATCTTTAAACACACATTACCATAAGCAGTTTATCAAAGCCCCAGAGGAGAACAACACCTCCAAAATTTAAATGAGCAGTTCAGCATCAAAAATCTGCAGGGTCAGTATTTTCTGAAGACAGGGAAGAGTGGCTTTAAATTGGCAAATTCAATTACTTCACTCCTTTAGCTAATAAATGGCATGCCTGGTTTCTTCCTTTGATCTACATATCCAGCTCCAATTACCTGTGATGACACTTCAATCCAAACAATGTGACCCTGAGCCAGAGGAACCGGAGGGCACCCAAGACAATTAGCTCATCCCACTGCTGCTCAGGAAGAAATGCTCATTAGAGATGTACACCCCTGATGTCCAGGACTGGATTTATGGGGCCTGGGTCAGATGATTTCTGCCTCTCCCCTTGGCTGTGATGCTTCTGGCCAGGATTTATGTAGGAAGAGTTGCCCTGACAGCAGCCAATCCCACTGCACCCGCCTTGCCCATTACCTCAGCTTGTACAACTTCCATTTCTCTTCCTCTTCCTGCACTTACATCCCTCAAACCTATAGATCAAAAAAGCAGCAGACACCAGATTGCCCAGCTTTCCCTCCCTCTTTTATTTTGCCCCCCAAATTTTACCATTCCCAACTGCAGCATCTCTAAATTTCCCCACTGCCTCCCTAATTAAGATGCCTCCAAACAAACCCAATATTCCTCCTGCAGTGGTTTCCAAAACCATTTAAAGGACTGTTTGGTTTTCATATGGCCTGATGCCTGTCTTGATAAGGGAAAACCACCTCTGGATTTTCCCCAGGTGCTCTGATGCATTCCCAGCTCTCTCTGATTGTGTGAGCTGTCTCCTCGCCATAATTTTCAATATTATTAAAAATAGAGACTGTTTCATTGCAACTGATTTCCCTTGGGAAATGAGACAGAAACTGATCAGGGCAACTGCAATTTCTTCTTTAGTTTTATTTCTACCTTTAGATGTTCAGGAGGATCCTCCAAATCATGAACATAGAAGCATGGGATGGTTTGGGTTGGAAGGAACCTTAGAAATCACCTATTTCCAATCCCTTCCATTAGGCCAACATGAGTGAAAATGTGGTACTGAAGCCCACACCACTATCAGCAAACTCCTGGCTTACAGACATGTGGAATGATCCATATATATAGACCTAGACACAGATATATGGAAAAGCTGAAAGGATCCTTTAGATCCATAATTCCATGAGCTCTCCATGCCAAGAGTTGCTCTCCATTGCTTTTTCAACTAACCCAGGATTTAGCACAAAGAGCAATTAACATTTTTCTTCATTCATTTGTTCTAATCAAATATATGGGGACAGAAGAAGAGCAAGTAAAGCAGAAGTCAAACACAGGAACATTAGAGAGGTAAGTGTCCTCCACCAGCAAACAAATAACAAGCAGCAGCCCTGACCACATGGAAAAAATCCACTTGGATCCAGCAGGGTAAAGCCCTTGGGAAGCTCTGAGGGATGAGATGGGTTGATTAGGCATCTTTAAGCCAATTATGCCATTTTAAACTATTTTCAATTATCCAATGGACCAATTTGCAGCACTCAATTGCTCTTTACAGCCTTGTACTCTCAGCAGAAGCAAAGACATTAAAAGCTTGCCTATAAGAAAGCCCACATTTCTTGGCTTTGTGCTCATTTGGGATTTTCTCTTTCCCAAAAACTCAACATTCCACACTTGGAGACACCTCTTAGTGCATCTTGCCTTCTGGTGTCTAGCAGAAGAACTGCATTTTAAGAAAACCAAAGTCTTAACACACTTTTGGAGAGTACCCATTGCTCCCTCCTCATGGAGCTGGGAATTTCTTTGCCAAAAAAGGGAGATTTTTTGGTGATGTTACTTAGAGGAAGTAAAATTTCTGGCTAGAAAACACTAGAATATCTTGTCTTTTGGTGGGAACTCATGCACAAAGGAGTTCATGGCTTCCAAGGCTTAATAACTCCCCAAGCAACTCTAGTGTGGGAAGAAGGATCACGAACTCAGCTGGGAAAAAAAAAATCAGTCATTTGGAGTTAAACATCCTATGGTTGCTTCTGTTCCATTTATCCCAAAATTAAGAAAAATAGATGGGCAAAGGCCCCAGTAGCCTGTAAGTGACTCAATCCCAGATTAACAGAGTCCTGAAGCAGAGACAGCTATCCATAGAATACAGATGGCTGAGCCCCAGCTGCAGTAAATATAGGGGTAAAAACCCATTAAACTTAATGTTGCAGATATTTTCCTTTCATTACTATTCCACCATTTCAGAAAATGAATCCAAATCATTCCAAGTTGTTTTTTTTTTTAATGTTAATCAACCCAGAGATGTAAGTAACAGGCAACTAAAAAACTGAGCCCACAGCATAGACACAGCCACAATATCATCAGTTCTGAAGGAAAAATGGGTTATTTCTTCTCACAAAGAAGGATAAGAATTAACTCCACAATAATGCAAGTGCATCATCTTGGGATACCAGGGAGAAATTCTTCCCTGGGAGGGTGCTGGCACAGAAAAACTGTGGCTGCCCTGTCCCTGAATCCCCCATCCCATCACACCACACAAATCTAAGGGATGAAGACATGAACAGAGGAAAGCCATGTGAAGGATGCAGGCTGACAGAGCCTCCCATGCCACAGTCTGAGTTTTCAAATCACTTGGGAACATCCCCAACTGCCAACTGTGAAAATTCATTCCCATTTCTGTCCTTCAGCATGGCACAAGTGGTATGCCAAGCCACAGAGCTCTCCCTGTGCCAGGAAGCAGCCAGGCTTGTGTTTGGAAGCTGGGATATTCCTTGGAAGATGCTGCTCAGATTCATGTTGGAAATGCCACACAGCAGTGACTGGGCTGGCAGAAAGGTAGGAAGACATCCTTGCTCCAAATAGTGAGGGTGAGATGGACCCATGGAGGGTCTGGAAAGATTGAAGATAAAATTAACATGAAAAAGACTACAAACAAAAATAGTCCTGTGAACTCAAAGCAACCTTCTCTTGAGGAAATGGGCCCTGTGACACTGGGCACACCTGGATTACCCCACCACTGGTGAGGTAACAGATTTCACTCATGGCAGGGATGGGGCTGAAGAATTTCCTGTCAGCCAGGAATAATTTACTCAGAACAGTCATGATCCAAAGGGACTCTGGAGATCCCAGTGTGGGAGAAGATGTCTCTCCATTGCAGGGACACACACAGAGCTCAATATCCGGCCAGAACACAAGTTCCAGAGTTAGATGGCTTGAAATTTATTCCCTATACACAGGACAGAAAAAAAAATAACAGAGGTGAATCCATCCTAAGTGAGAGTTACCTGCTGTGATGGGAGAAGGAGATGCAGGTCTGCTATGAGAGCCCTGGCAAAAGGTTAATTATTGTGGCTTCAGCCAATGTCACTTAACCCTCTTGCCAGGAGACTTAAATCCAGACACAGCAACAGTCCAACTGTGGAAACAACACCAATTTATTCTTTTAATGCCCAGCTCTCTTCAGTACCTGTTATTGGAGGCAGAATTAGTGTGCCTTGAAAATGGACCCCATTTGCTGGGAAATTGCAGTCACTGGCCATGGAAAAGCTCTTTTTCTCCTTCCTCCGTTTGTTTTGCAAGTTTCAAAGCAAAAACCTCTTTGGTCAGGGAAGGCATTGTTTTCCTATAACATTCAAAGGATCCAAGGGAAATTCCATCAGAATTTACTCATCTTTCTACCTCTGGCCCCAAAACATGAGAAGCAGCTGAAGCGACAGAAGCCATGGAGTTTCCTCAAGGCCCCTCAACTCTCATTGCCTTTAACAGGATTACCAGGACAGAAGGTTGGCTTTCTGAAGCAGCTAAAAGCCATTTTATTAGTTCTTTTAAAAAGAAAATTCAGCCGAGGAGAACAGACAGTGCTGGAGTGAGGAATGGCTCGTAAATAAGATACGGTGACAGACTAATTTTCTGAGCAATGTGCAAACAGCTGCTTGAGAGCAATATGAAATGAAAACTCCAGCCCTCTCTCCTCCTCTCACACCCCTTTCACAGAACTCAGCTGGAGGGAGCTTCAGGTAAAGCTGCAAAGACAACTGAAATGAGGAGTTTGGGGAAGCACTCCCAAAGCCTGGCTGAGCACAACGACACAGCGCCCTCGGGGCTTCTTGTTTCCCAAGGCTCTCATTGACCAGTTTGGAGTCCAACGAGCCAAACCAGACCATGATGGATCTCTCCCCATCACTCTCCCTCCTGCTTTCCCCTCCCAGACCCAATCTCCCACTCCCCCTTTTGATTATCCTGCTTAATGCTCAATATGCCACCTTCTTTTCCCAATATTTATTTATTTTTCTATTTGATGTAATCTACAGCTCCACCTTGTCCAGATACTTCCTTAATGTTTGGATTATTTAAACAACACAAGGAGAAAACAAATATTGAACTGTCACATTTAAGATTTATTTTCATCATTTTATTTTATTTATTTATAAATAAATAGTCTATTTATTTATTTCTCTGTTTTATTTATTTATTTCTAGGGAAAAGAACCTAATCAGGAACTACTGGATTCCTGCAAAGCAATATTAACCAGAGAGTAAACCAGTGGGGTGCAACAGTGAGTTTTCTGTTTAGCCACAGGGTAAGGCTTGGTTGGGAGTTAATTTTACAAAAGCAAATGCTTTAGAAATGAAACCCAAACTCTCCCTCTGGGGAATCTCTGTTAAACAGGAGCTCCAGAGAAATTCCTCCATCTTCAGTAATCATTTAGCAAACTCCCCAAATGTCTATAAGTCAGCCTCAAAGCCCTGGAATTTTTTTTCTTTTTTTTTTTTTTTTTAATTTTCCTTTTTGAAAGCTTCTGCCTTGCCCACCCTTCATATGGATCCTCAAAGTCAATTCTGTCTCCTCATTAAGCTAACGCCCCTGTAATTGTGAACACATTCAAAAGCCCAAGAACAAGAGGAATAAAACCCTGTCCCCCCCTCACAGCCCTCCAACACAAGGTGGTCCTTTTCTTTTATTCTCACAACAAACAAGTTAAAGCAAAGCAAGAACAACTTCTTTTACTGCTGCCTGTGGAAGCACATAAATTAATTTTGCACCCTGTGTACTTGATTAGGGCGTTGTTCACCACCAGCACAACCATAAAAACAAGGGCAAGAGTGTTTTCCAAACCACACTCAGTAATTTGAGAGTTCATTGTCATCTGTGGAGGCTCAGATGAAAAGCCCTCATTACACACAAGTGAGTACCTGAGATCATTTTGGCACAGTCCAGATGAATACAAGAAAGGAACAGCAAAGATCTTAAGAGCCAGTTTGGAGACTTGGTGGAAAAAAAAAAACAAATTAAAGTCATAAAACAAATTCCCTGGCTTGAACCAGCTGTATCTCTCTGGTTGTTTTCACAACATGAAGGTCACACACAAGTCTGTCCCCCCGCCAGGTCCATTTGACAACAAACAAGAACGTGAGCATTGCTGCTTCCCAGGAATAGATCCTCAGTAAATGAAGAGCTGCCTCTCATGTCTCCTGTTACAACATGCAAGAACACGGGGGAGAATAAAGCACCTGTTGCTGTGACAAAGCATCAGTGATTAACCCAGCTGACTCCCTCAACAGCACTGGGCAGGCAGCAGTGGGCTCTGCAGCTAACTGGGAAGCATTCAGTTTTTTAATTCCACAGATCAGGTCAGCATGGAATAGATAATTACCAGATTAGATGGCCAAGTTTTCTCTTTTTAAAACTGAAAAGAAAATGTCTCAAATTCATTTGGACAGTGGCTTATTACCCCTTACCCCACTTTTTCTAATAGGGCTGAGAAAGTGACATTGACTTTCCTGTTTATGACACAGCACCTTCCAAGCAGTCAGAGAAGCTCTGCAAATGAGGTTCTGAGCTTGACTTCCACGTGAAGAAAGTCTAGAAATGCCATTTGACATTATCAAAGGCTTCAGTTTTACTGGTTCTTGCCAGCAAAGCAAACTTTTCAGTGCTGGCACTCAGAGTGCAGACGACTTTGCTGGAACAGATTAGCAGATCATGGAAATACCACAAATGCAAGTCAAGGGCAGCAGGGTAAAAAGACAGAAGGTATCTAATGATACTGGTTGAAATATAAACAGCTTAACTTCCCTCCTCATTGGATTGTATCACTCACAAACCTGAGCTCACCCAAGTGAAAATACAGCTGGAAAAGTGAATTTGGAGAGGCGTGAAACCAGTGAAAAGCTGGAGATCTGTGTTCATCCAAATCCAAGAGAATATCACATGAACACAGCTCAAGAACACATCTCCATTTACAGATCTGAACAGCAGGTCAAGTGACTCATTAAAAAAAAATCTGTCACATTTCAAAATGAGAAATAAATCTTCAGAAGTCATCAATCTGCTTGTCTTCCCGAAGCACTCAGGCTAGACCAGATCAAGCAACAGCAATTGCTCAGCTCGAGTTGCAGGCAATCAAAAGGCCTTTTAGGGAAATTCATGTCAACAAGCTTGTGAACCCCAAAAATTAAAAAAAAACAAAACAGGAATTGCAGGGCAAATCCCTGCTGTACTTACTGGAAAGGACTGTGGTGAGGAAGATGTAGTCGGAAAAAGAAATGAGTCCACATTCTCCAAGCGCGTAGAAAATGCTGTCCTCGTCAGCAAACTTCTCCCTCTCCTGAGATAACTTCTGGTCATCCACCCGAGCCACACCCCAAAGAGAGCACAGACATCATCAGGTTAAACACAGAAATGGAAGGCTTGATTTGTATCCTTAGCACCAACAAGCCATTCCATAAACACACACACCCCTACCATCTCCATCCATATCCAGAGGACCTTTTCCAGCCTTTGGATCTGATCACAAAAGTTCTGCAAAGATCGATGCTTGCCCATCTCAAATGAGGATAAGGAATTGCAACCAATTGCAACCAACCTTTTTTGGTTCAGCTCAGCTGAAATAAACATAAATAAAACTACGGTCACTTTGCTTAAAATCTTTGAGATTAGTGATAAAAAAACTCAAACTTTAATACAGGATTCAAAGAGGAAATTGTATTTCACTGACAGCTTTTTAGTTAGACTCTGCTGTAGAAAGGAGCCAAGAAAGGACTATTTGACATGAATATAAAATCTGATCAAAGTTATTCAAACCGTGTGTGTGTGTGAACTCACAGGGAGGACTGGGCCTGAAACCAACTCAATCCCCCCTCTTGCTCCAGTTCTTTTCCACTTATCAGCTCACAATATCTTACTAAGCTAAAAATTCCAGTCCCTTTGATCCGCAGAACCCCCAAAGGCTGAAAAGTATCCATAAAACTGTTAGGGAATACACACTGGTGACCCACTTTAAGGACACAGTAGGAGGAAACACACACACACAGAGAGGAGAATTAAATTAATACAGAGGAGAGTAGGGGTAGATAAGGTTATTCCATGGAAACCAGGCCATGCAAGCACACGCAGGCACGGTGAAAAGAAGGCTGAATTTAGGACTGGTTTTAGGAAAAACCACCAACAAACAGCACCACACAAGGGTCCAGCTACACAACTGCCCCCCACCGTTACCTCTGTCTAGCGGAGATCCCATCATATACAAGATAAAGAAAAGAAAACAGATTAACCAACAATAAAACAAGCAGGCAAAACGTCACATCAAGTTGAATGGTTAGGCTTGCCAAGAGCAAGGAAAGTCTGGAGCAACCAGGTGGTTGCTGTGACTGGAACCCTATGGAGATATCCCAGCAAGTGTTAGCTCATAGCTTCTCCACTGCCTGCAGCTGATGTCTCTCATCCACCTCAAGTTTTTTGGCTTTCTTTTATTTTTTGAGAGTGAACTCACCGTTGTATGTGATTGCAGAGTGGGGATGAGCTCAGCTAATAATTTAGATGAAAATTTAACCTGTATCTGGCTTGAAAACCACAAGAAAAGAGACAAAAATAATCATATAGATTACAAAACCCCACAGTTTCCAGGGAAAAATACTTTGGTCCTATTGATCACATAAAATTATTCCCAGTAACTCTGCCTTTACCACCTGGAGAGCACCAGGAATTTAATAAGAGGTGAGTCACTACCAGCAGACAACATGCTAATGGCCTTCATTTGATGCAAGATAACAGCCATTTATGCTTATGGGGTACCAGGTTGAAATATCATTTCCTCAAAAACTGGTTTTGCTTCCATTTCCATCAAGATGAATCCAAAGCAAAAATAACATTGATGCTGATGTGAAGAACAAACATCTGGTTTTCCTTTGAACCACAGGCAGGATGTGGGGAGAAAGCAGCTCCCTGTGACTGCTGCTGGAGGTGTTGCCAGCAGCATCTCACCTGCTCCTGTGATTTATTGCCTCTCCCTCTGATTGCCTCTCTTGGGCAGCATTGATCATAATCTAGCTATTGGCAACTTGCTTGAAGAATCCCATGAAAAAGTTCCAGAAGGTGGTTTATTAATTTTTATGGGCTTTTTGCTGCACTTAAAATTCATGGTCAGCATCAAACAGCTCAAAATATTCCTCATAAGAGGAAAGAACATTCATAGATTAGCAATAAAAAAGGATATTAAGTTAGTTAGTCTCTGAAATATAAAGACAGGTGGGAGGGAGAAGCATTTACCCATTTGCACCTTCCTTTGAGCAAACATAGTAAAAAAAGGTTATTTATTTATCTTAAAACCAGCATCTACTTGTCACCAACCCAGGGAACACAAGCTGTAACTACATTGCTCAGCTGCCTGTAGCTCGTGGAAAAGGGAATTTCTCCCGCTGATTTTAAGGGAAAATAACAACTGCCCTGATCAATCAGATTTTCAGGTTCCCAGCAGTAGAACAGAAGCTTTAAAAATTTCCCAACTCTCCCATTCATTTTCCTGTCTCAGTGAGAAGCTGTGTGTTTGATTGCTTTCCATGAACTTAGTGGGAAGCTCACCCCACAATGGGAAGGCTCAAAGCATCCATCTCCCAGGAGCTGCTCCCCACCATGAAACGTACTGCAAGGAATTATATCTAACTTCCAGGAAAAAATATTGTAAAATAAATCTAGCTACCTATTTCACAAAGCACAATGTGAGCTGTTGTCACCCCTCAAGTCAGTCCTCACTAACATCTCAAACCACCCTTTTCCACAGCCCACCTTCCTTCCAGCACACTCCCATTCAGCCAGAAAGGTGATGCATGGTATCAAACACCCAGGCAAAAAATCTCTTTCCAAACCTCCACCTTCTTTTAGAGACAAGTCATCTCCACAAGTAATTATCAACACCCTTCTGTATCTGAGCTCAAGGTAATTCTCAAATTGTTCAGTTAAAACAGCCAAATGTCTTCCACTCAGCATTTTTTTCCATTTAAAATCCACTCCCAAAACCAGAGTAATTGGTTAAGATCATTCAGTACACCCCAAAAAAACCCATTTAAACCCGAGCATTCACAAGTGAGCAAGCCATGGGGAACACTTTACAATTACGATGTATTTTTTGATCAAGCAGTAGATTCATATTTAACAAGCACACAGACAAGCAGACATCCAAATTAACATGTAAAAAGAAAAAGAAATCCAAATATCTCGCTGCTTTTGGCACAAGCATGGCTGTGTAAGTTCAGTGAGAAGCCACCAGTCCAGTCTCAGTGGAACAAAACTTGTGACAGGTGTACAGGCAGATTCTCTTACAGTTCCAGACACCGATGACAGGTCAAAAAACTGACTCAAATTCAAGATACAGAGCTTGCTTTGCCCTTCCCAACTCAGGCTTCAAGCTCAATCAGCACCAAGATGTGGCTGAACAGATCAATGCAGTGACCAAGCTTCCCCAAACCCACGTGCTAGAGGAAAAAGTCTTGTGCTGCATGCAGGCAATTCCCCAGAGTTCTTTATGTACAGGCTGGCTGCAAAGCACCCAAATATACATCACAAATTTCACATACTCCACCCCAAAACTGATGTGCTGGAGCCTCCCTTAAGTTAAGGACACGGTACAGCTTCCATCAACAAGGATTGGTGGAAAAACCCCACGGAATCCTTATGTTCCTTGTCAAATATTACCTTTATTTTGGATTTTAAAATTGTTTTCTCAGGGCTGAGGAATGAAACGTGGTAATACTGAATTATGCAAATCTGAAAAATAAAGGCGTATTTTTGCACATGGAAGGATGCCTTCTCTGCAGAGGCAGAGATGGGCACACGGTGCTGCTGCTCCCACTCCTAATGCAAGTCTAGAAAAGCCTGACCACCTAAATCCTGGCAGCTCCACTTCATCTGGCATTCCAGAAACTACAGCATTTAATTTGGGAAGAACACATTCTTGGGAAATCCCTCAGAGCTGTCAGTCTGTGTTTCCATCTGGAGAAGGAAAGGACATTTTGGGCATGTTTCTTCCTGTAACTTATGTTTCAGCACCACATTTGCACCTCCATGAACCAAAGCTTCAGGAATTTATCAGCCCAATGTGACCACTTCTGCCTTCCAAAACAACAATAAAATAAACATCCATGAGAGATAATGGGTATTTCTCCAGAACCAGGAAGCAATTCTGTTAATTAGCAAGGGATTTTAGATGAAGAATAAACCACCTTTTATTTACAAACATCACTGTACTTGGTTTGTTCCTTTTGAACAGAAACAATTTCAGGTGACCAATATTGTACTGAGCAAATACAAACCCATGAGTGTAGAGTGAAGTCCCCTGGATGCAAAGCAATTCTCTTTCAGTCCCAACTGACCACCTTCAGTTATGCAAAATATTAAAATAAGAACATCTATTAATGTGTTTCTTTCATGGTTAACTGTAAGCATGTAGGAAAAAAAGTCCCTTTTGCTAGCAGGACAGGTGTGGATTATTGCAGCTTTTCCCAAGCAGGGCTGTTGAAAATCCAGGGAAATATATATTAAGAGACTTGGTAACAGACAAGGGAAAGCCCTTAATTAATTCCAGTGCAAACCAGCTTGCTGTGGCAATTAAAAATATGTGCTTTTAACTCTGTCTGCATCAAAACACTGAACCAAAAAAGGGAGGATTTTAAACTTTGCTCATTTTTTTTAAAGATTTAAGCTTTAAAGAGTCAAAACCATGTATCTAGAGATACCAGGCACCTCACTTTGAGAAAAACTAATAAAGAAATAAAAAGGTTTTCAGGATCAGATTTTAAAATTGAGCATTTCAGCCCAAATATTCAAAAGTCCTTTAGGGAAAAAGAAATGGGAGAGGTCCCTCTGCACTATGAAATGGACAAAAATGGGACTTAAGGGAAAATTAAAGAATTCAACACTTTTTAAAGTCAGTTCCATAATATAGATGCAAAATAAGTAATTTGAAATGCACTGCCTTGCTTTTTTATATCACTTTTTCTACATCATTAAATAAGAAAAAAGTGTTGGAGGCTGTGATGAAAACAGCACAAGGACCTTTTGAAACTCATAAACCTCTTTTAGAACCTGGGAAAGCTCACATTATCTGGAGCCACTAGGAATGATAATTTACTATGAAGTCTGCACACCAATACCGGCAAACACAAACAGATTCTCCATAGCAAATTGTTGTGGCTGAGTGCTGACCTAAAAAAATGCTTAAAATTTACTGTTAGCAGATAATACTGCATAATTGGCAGATAATACCTTTCAAGAGTATATTTTAATCAAGAGGTTTTAAAAACTTTTGATTTTCAGGGGTTATTTTATCTGTGTCTACAGAGGGGCACAAAAATACAGAGTTGAACATGGGTGAGGTTGTCCTGCACATTCTCTCACTCTCAATTTGAGCACATGCAGAGAATGAAAACCTGGGCAGCAATTCTTACTGCAGGTGGACTCCTGTGACTGGAAAGAGAAATTTGCATTCCCTCCCTTCCAGCAAGGCTGTAAATATTCAAACCACCTTTCAAACAAAGGGCACCTGAAATGCAAGGCCAGCATTCTGCACAACCCAGAAAATCAACGACACAGACTCTCCCAACGCGTGGCAGGCAGCAAAGCCACTCATGCAAGGGAGAAACCCCTGCAGGAAAAGCAAATAGGAAAGGCCTTGAAAAGGGACAGTCTACACTTGTGCTCCCCTCAGCCCTCTGCAGGGTAATGAAATCACAATCTGCAGGACCTCTGGGGCATTTTGCATGGAAATTTAATGGAGATGATTGAAATTAGGGTCCTTGATGGCCCACATCAAGCTTCTAAAATGAGCTCAGTTTTGCCACCTTTGAATTTAAACAGCTGTTTATGTCTTGGATGGAAATTGGGATGCTGCTCTCCCTCATGTCAGCCTGCATGACCAAGATGAACTCATTGTGTTGCTCCTTCTCTCAGGCAGAAATTCCCAGTGTGAAAGGACACAAGGAGGAAAATAATAGTTCTCTATAAAAAGCAATTATTAAACATTGGCTCAGTTGATGAGGTTAGGGTTGTACACTTGGTACTCACCACCAAAATCTTATCAATTCTCTTTCCCTCTCTGTCTTTTTTTTTCTTCACCTGCTTCTGCCATCCAGAGTTGACCTCCTTGTGGAGCCAAGTGAGTTCAAGCACCTCCTGAAGCATTCCTTGCCACCCTCTCCCTCCTAACACCATGTCACCCAAGGACAGAGTTCTCAGAGCTTTGTTTTTGTCCCTCAAGTATTAAGCGTTAAGCTAACAAAAGCAAAACTACCAAAGAAATTAAAGCCACAAATACTCCAGAATCTATTTTTGATTAAAAGACTGCATACACCCACTGAGGGCTTATTACTAAGTTGTTTATTTTCCCCTAACTTTCCCTATGGATTTCATTAATGCCACAAAGCTACAGGGCAAACTCAAAGTGCTTCCAGATATTTTCCTCTTTACTTACTAATATTGAATGAACTCCCCTTTGGTTTCTAGTTCTTTTTCCTAAAAAAAACATTTTAAGAACTACAACAACTAAATATCTACCATCTAACATAGTCTTTAATACAGTTCAGTCTACATAATTAACTTGAAAAACTCAAGTTTGCAAATGCAGCCTTTCCCACACCTGCACACCTTCAGATAGATGACATTTCCCCAAAGCATTTGGCCAGGGAATCAAACTAACTTTATGGCCTCAAGGGGAAAGCGCTATTTTCCAGCAGAGCCAGCTCTATCACAATCTCATCAAGCTGCAGAATAAGACAGAAGCCTCAGAGGACACTGTGAAACCAGGAGGGCAGGCAGACACACATCTGAGCTTTGCTCAAAGCAGTTCCTGTTAATAGAGCCAGGTATTAATGGTTACCCTGAGGACTGTTCTCTCCACAAGCCACACTCAGGTGCTCTGAAATAAACCCTGCAGGCTGAGGATCAAGGAGAGCACTCAGGAGTATTTACGAGAGGAGCAGGGGAAGAGGTGAGCGTACACTGTCCCTTTCACGTGAAAAGTGCATATTATGAGGTCTGAAGCACAAACTAATCAAAGCACATGCTGCTGTCTGCTTTGTACCTGCCAGAAATCCTGGTGGGAGGGGAGAGGGTTAGAAAAGGGAAGAAAATGAGGGAATGCTTGGTTACACCAAAAAAAACCACAAACCAGAATTAGAATAAAGACAAGTATCAGAGATATTAGCAGCTGGAGGAAACACCCGCCGGGTACCTGGAAACCAGAACAAAAGAGGACAAAGAACAAACAGAGGATTTTAGTAGGAGCCCTATGGAAATGAGCAGCAGAATTAGGGATACACAAAGATAACAGCAAATAGAGCTTTGTCAAAGCCAAAATACACAAATGTTTGGTAGAGAAGATAGGATTATCTACTTGTTCTGTACCTAAAGCAGCCCAGGTGCTCACAGGGATGTTTGTGTTAGAAGCAATTAAGGATTTTTCTTTGATGAAATACAGTTTTATTAAAAACAAACCAAGAAAAGAATTTGCACATTTCAGTGTCCACACAGGAGAGAAACATCAGAACTAACTGAAGCAGACAGGAGGGTCAAGTTTGGCTGGGAGGGAAAAACCAACAAGCAAAGAAACCAACCAACATGGACAGGGTGTTAGCAAAGGAAGCAAAGAAGATAAAAACCTTCTCAGCTCAGCTTTGCTGGTTATTTGCAATAAACTGCATCTCTGCTTGCTTCCACAAAGCCACAGGCAAGGATTTTGTCTCACCACTTCCTTACAATACTTTTAGGGATAGCAGAGGAATGTTCCTGCAGATCAGTGTAAGGTTATTATCCATGTAAGAAGGTGCCTCCTGGTTATTATGCAAATACTACCTGTGCTGAGATCAGAGGATGAAGGAATTTAAAAGCAGGGAATCTGAATTTGGATAGTGACATTTCCTATGGATTATGCACTAGAATAGCTAAACACTTGAAAGGTGTCTCTAAGCAAGCCATAACCCAGCCTCACCAGCTCCAGCTGGGGACACATTCATTTCAAACTCTGTCACAACAGATGCTGGCAAGACCTCACACAGTTGGATTTAGAGGACTCCTCACCTATTTTCATTGCATTTAACCTGGAGAACATACCAAGTGTCTTCCAGTGCACCTGCCCTTTATGCTGCTCTTTACTGAATCGTGATACTGGCTTTTGGTAAGGCAGCATTTATAGTTGCATCCTTTGGAATTAAGATTTCAGAGGCACTTAAACCTCCAGGGAGCTCAGAGCTCTGACCCTGTGTTTGGCTCCTGAATGACAGCAGGATTTTAGGCTTGTCTCGCTTGCCGCAAGTTTGGGTCTATGGCAGCTTATCAAACTCTGCTGAGAGCTCCAGGCAAAGCCCATCCACAGAGCAAAGGATCCCAGAAATTCCAGCTAATAAATCAAGGCTCCTTTCCTTCCCACTTTGTGAAACCTGTGTGCAAGATCCTTCAATCCACCAGGAAAGGATGGTGCATCTACCTCCAGTCTTTGCCTTGGGGATCCTCCCCAAGTACTTTTTTCAACTCTTCTACTCCTGAGATGCTCTTTAAATCATCTGGAAAGAAATCTGCCTCCTGAGCTGACTCCCAGCAAGTGTTCTTTAATGGACACACACCTTCAGGTCAGGGCAGCTGAAGATACTCATTGCACTGGTCCATGATATGACCCTGCATTATCCAGTGGAAGTGAATTCTATTCTAGAGATGTTTTACTGGCACTTAGAGGCACCATTTGAAGTATTTTCCTTGTCCTTCACCTTGCTTGGCATTACTTTATGGCACGCCCAAACATCTAGAGAAGTAAACATAAATGCTGGCAGGAAATACTTAAGTCATAAATTTAATTAGAGGGCACTGAAAGCCTCTCTAATTACTTACTGCAGGAGGGGAAGCTGTTGCTGGTAGCTCAAAGGCTCTTGCTCTTATTGAGCAGCAGTAAGGAATTCTCCCCACAGGAGAAAAAAGAGCAAGTCAAGTGTATCCTAATTAAACTAATAAGCCATCTAGAGTGAGGCTTTTATATCCTAAATAGGCCAGAGGTCTCTTAAAAGGAATCCAGCTCACCTTCACCTTTCCACCAGGCTGCACTGCTGGAAGCTCAGCTGGGGGACACCTGGGAGCTCCCATGCTGGCTCACCAGGGTGGATATGCAGCTCACAATTCAGACCAATAACATGAACTGCATTGTTTCTTTGTTTTTTTTGAGAGATGAAGCATGTCAATCATTAATGCATAAACCAGAAAAAATAGAGAGAGCACAAAAAAAGAAAATTTTAAACAAACTGCATGACAACTTACATAACGTTAATGAAGCTTATACCAGGTTATATGTGCTAAGAAATCCCTACTACTTAGTGAGAGCATATTCATCACTAAAACATGAGTTACTTCTCCTACAGATGGGTTAAAAATGCATTTGCCTTCCCACAGCCAAATGCAAGAGGGAAGAGACAGTGGAAACAGAGCAGACAGTCATGGTCTGGGCACCTCCACACCCTGAGAGTGTGTCTGTTCTCACATCAGCCTTTTGCTCAGGGTCCATATGAAATGTCTGCAAGCTGATTAATACCTTTTTTCTACTCTGCATGAATAGTAATCAATGCCTCTTTCCCCCTATTTTGCTGAGCTTGCTTCCCAAGGGAAGAAACCACCACTCTTAGACAAAAATGGAGCCACAGGTTGCCTCCCTGTACACGCTTAGCCCAAAAGCATGAGCCTGTGCTGGCACACACATCTGACCAAAGGTTTGTGCTGGCTGAGTGTCTCCAGGGCTTTTGGTCTTGCATGAGTGAAGAAAAAGCATTTAGGCTCATATTACAGGAGCATTGTTGCCATTAATAAGGCAGTAATATCTACCTCCCTCTCCAGTAACTCTATAAATTATCAGCAGGAAGAAGGAGGGGCAGGAAGAGGGGGAAAAAGGTGGATTTTATCTTCTCACCATGGCATTCAGTCACATGCACAGCAAGCTGGCTTGGAAACCCAACAAAAGCACAATACAGAGGCACATCACTCCCCAAAATCCTTTGGCAAGATCAGTCCTGATCACTCCACAACAGCCAATTAGTTGGTTTTGACGGCAGCTTTGCCTAAATAAAATGGGTTCTGTGAAAGGAGCAGCTCATACTTCATCCCACTAATGCTGCAGCATCTAGATCTCAAAGACACATACTTCAAATTCACACGGATGCTACAAACACTGTCCTGGAATATGTCATTAAAATGCAACTAACTGCACAGACCTTTTAACTGAATCTCCTTCTAAACTACTCCTTGCATGCAGACATCATGTTTGGAACTTTGCTTGGAACTAAAATCAATCATCTTTCCCACTCTTCAGCCAGGATCTGGCCTCTGGATTGTCAGTGCTTTTCAGCAGCACAGCTTGCTTATGTCTGACAGTTCACAAACTCCATTTTCCTTAAAAAAGGAGAACTACTTTCCAGTGACCAGGCCTATTTTTGAGAACCACAGTTCCCATTGCCTCTGTGTAACATCCTTAAGGATGCTTAGGGGAACAGTGATAACCCTTTCACCCTCCTGCCTGAGCTCAGCAGCTCCTTCAGCACACAAAGGCAAATCTCCTCCAAGCAGAGGCTGCTTTGATAATCCAAGAGGAACGTGTGGCTGGAACCAGGCATGGAGGAAAAGATGCAAAAGGGTTTTATCACTATGCAAGTGAAACTCAGAATGTGCAAGGCCAGCTCTGCAGCAGCTCAGTTGTACTTGGCTGAGTAACAGCAGTGTTATTTTTTTAAACTGGAACCCAAAGCAAGCAACAAAATGAGAACAAGCTGCTGTCAGAATAAACTGCTGTCACCTTCCTTCATTACCAAGGGAGAGCCAAGGCCAGCTCATTTTATCCTCTCCTTAAATTATCCTCTCATCTGGACATTACCACTGCCCTAATAGCCACAGCAGATGTAGCCAGTCCCAAGGTGTCTTTAAGCAGACAGCCAAGCAAACAAGACCCTCTATTTCTTCATTTTCAGAGTACACTGCTTCCAGGGTGTTATTAGGCTGTGGAAAAATCAGGCCCCAGGAGAAGATAATAATAAAGCAAAGTCCATTGCAGTCCCCTAAATCTGCTGCCTCACTTTCAGGCAATCAAACCACAGCACGGAGACATCCAAATGCAGCAGCAACATCTGTAAGTTATATAAAAAGCTATTTCAGTCTACTACAGGTCAGAGCCCTTGGTGTTGAGGGGCAAAGGAACAGAAAGCTGAGTTCAAAAGATTTGCCTTTGGATTTTTTACCTAGTGTGCTGGGAATCGCCTGCAGAGCGCTCAGGAACAGAAGAGCGATTAGCAAAAATAGTGTGGGATTCAGCACTTCTTCCCTACAAACAAATCCTGTTTATCTAAAGCCTAAGGAATGAGGGTGATATCTTGACAAGATAAAATGATGAAAGTGATTGAATACAAAACAGACTGTCATGAATCCAGAGGGAGAAACACTGGATATTTTGCAAAGAATATACATCCTTCCTTTGGTTGGGCTGTTTTTTTAAATCACAAAAAACAGACATCACATTTGTGGCAGGGGGGAAAAGAAAACAGGTGTTCATGACATGTTTTGGAGCTTTATGTATCAAAACTAACTGCCAAAATCCACCTCCCTGTTGTCTGTTTTCCAGCAAAGCCCTGCTCTGCTGTCTGGGTAACCAGCACATTCGTCCAGAGCTCATGACAGGGACCCCAGGTATTTGATCATCCTGTTGTCACCCGTCCCTGCTAAACACAAACCAGAAGACTGCACAAGTTCAGCCCACATTGTGTTTATATAAAGCTTTCAATTCTTTTTTCTCCCCAGTGTCAAAGTTTTCTGGAAATGCCTTACACTATGCCAGGTGCACCCAGCAGCAATAGGGGGTGAGATGCTGATGTCCCTTTGAAAGCTTTATTTTCAGATGGTGCAGATGAAAATGCTGCTAAAAGCAGCTAAAATGCTGCTACATCATTGTATGATATGATGGAAAATTAACTAACCTGCAATTATCTGTATCAAGGAGTCAATCTGAGCTGCCAGTCCTGAGGCAGAGCTACCTTTACCACCCCAGTGGGATTTACAGTGTGGATAATTAGGTCTGTGCTGTCCAAAACAACAGGTGGGATGCTAGGTGGCTCCCTTTCACAGGGAGACAAAGTTAGATCAGAACTAAGATTTTACCAACACCTGTGATGACAGCACAATCACCCAGAATAGTTGTGCAGTGCTACAGGAAGAACCTGGCCTCAAAAGGGGAACAGAGAAAGGCTGTTCAATGGGGGGAAATACATGGGTGGGACACAGAAAAAAAACCACAAGAGCATCTCCTTCCTTTAGGAATCTGGTGATGAGACTGGAAGGGAAAGGTCCAGTGAGTTTCCTCTGAAATGATTTAACTTGTGGGGCTCTCACACAGTCAGAAAGAAGCAGCAAAGAAATGTGATTACAACCCATGATTTCCCAGCCCACCAGCATATAGGAAGTGGTAATATTTTGTCTGTAAACATTAAAATAAGGTCCCTTTATGGAAACAATCTTTCTGTCACTACAGAAAAAATACTGCAATGCTACTGAAAATGAAAATGTTCAGAAGAGAACACTTGGCACACTTCATTTAACTTACACCCTCACACAGGTAATAACTGAAGGATTCTAGGTCAAAAAAGCCATTAAATAAAGTACATTTAATAATACAATGTGCTCACCTTCCCATCATAGCGTTTCACTATGAATTGGTCCAGGCCCAGGTCTGCAAGAGAAAAAAAAAACTTACAGAAAAGAAAGCTTTTATAGCATAGAATTAAATATTTCTTGTGTTTTCTGCTTGAGAGAACTGGAAAATAAAATGCACAGTCCAAGTAACATGTGTAGAAAGCATAAGGATAAGAGGAAAATTATATTTGGTTTTGTATATTTTGTACTTTGTATTTTGAACCCAAGAAGTCAACAAACTCATGGAATCGGAGAAGAAAACCTCCTTCTATAGCAGGGCCAGCAAGAGCTCAGCAATCAGCACCTCTCAAGAGCCTGGAATACCCCTCTCAAAGTAGATCCCTGCACTATTACCAGGTAAACATTTCACCTGTGACTCTTGGTGCTTTTAATAACACCTTTGGAATGGCTCAAAATGGGAAAAAATGGACTTGTTCTTATAGTTAATTGGGATATCCCCAAACAAACCCAGAGCTTGTTCATATCTGAGTATAAAATAAATAGATTTTAAAGGAGATAAGCTGTAGATGCATTTGTAAGAAGTGGAGTACTTTAGCTGAATTGGAGAAAAGCAGGCAGAGGGATTGTTTATATCAATAAAGTCTCTGATACCTTCCTGAAATGTTTATTTATGTTGAAGAGGGGAAAAGAATATGCCAGCCTGAGGTGAGTTAAGGCACAAAGCTCTCATCTCACCCACAATGCCCAGCAGGCTGCATCTAACACCAGTGACTGTACGTATAAGCAAGATGACAAAAAAAAAAGTTCAGTAAGATTAATTATCTGAGCTTTGCAATCCAAAATCAGGAAGACGCATCCTGAGAAGAGATTAAGCAGAACTCAAGTCAAGCATTTCCAGTAAAACTCATGAGAGTAGAGGCTGATTTTTGGTGCTCTGAGAAATAAAACCTTCTGGAGACATCCCGTATATTTTCTGCCACTGTTTATGGTAATTAGCACATTCTCATTTCAATTTAAATTAGAAAATAAGATGGAAAAACCAAAATAAAGCCTTCCCCATGCCTGCTGCGTCACCTGCTTTTGAAAGAGGATAACAAAACCCTTCCTGTCTGCTGGAAAGTTTCATGGTATTGTGCAGAAAATGGAATTATTCATTGCTCCAGGTTGACCCCCTCTTGCCCTTTGTGACCCAAAGCAGCTACAACTCCTCTGCCACCAATTTCAAAGGTCAAGGCAATTGTCACAGGGCTTTCTGCACTTGCGAAAATTCTAGCCAGAAAGCACCTTCTCAATATTTCATGGGCCTGATAACAATGCAAATTGCATATTCATACACATTTCCAGACTTTAATCTTCTGAATTTTGTCCTTCTCCAAGCTGCAGGTATAAATGAGGTAATTAATAGTGCATTTAGAGGCAGGATTTATCTGATGAATGTGATTATTTTATTACAGACACTTTATGTGGTCAGAGCTCACCCCGACCATCCACTTGGATGGTGACTTAAGCTGAGCTTATGTCTATGTGTCATAATAAAGTCACTTCTCAGGAACACCTCCTTTTCCCATGCCAGGAAATGCTGCTGAAAGACAGATCCCTGACAGCCTGACATTATACATGTACTCATGGAAAGCCAAAAAAAGGACATGGGTTAAAAATAGCAAGTGAAAGTATGTCTTAATGGCACCTCCTGCAACTGGACACAGGGAAAGCACAGAGGTTCAACAGAGAGCCAAAATGAATAGATGATTGTGTAGAGAACTGCAAGAAAAGATGAGCTGATAACTGTCAATTTATATCTATAAATACCATATGTTTCTAAATAATTATAATAAATATTTATGTAATAAATAAATATGGAAATAATGGCTCCTGGGCTGTGCCAACAGTGGTGTGGGCACAGGCCCAGGGTAGGGCCATCCCCTGGGCTGGCCCCCAGGGCTGTGTCCAGTTCTGACCCTCCCAGCCAGAGAGCCCTGGAGTATATCCAGGGAAAGGAAGGGAGCTGGGGAAGGGGCTGGAGCCCCAGGAGCAGCTGAGGGAGCTGGGAAGGGGCTCAGCCTGGAGAAAAGGAGGCCCAGGTGGGACATTCTGGATCTGCACAGCTTCTGACAGGAGGGGACAGCCAGGGGGGTCGGGCTCTGCATCCAGGGAACAGGGACAGGACAAGGGGAAATGGCCTCAAGCTATGCCAGGGGCAGTTTAGACTGGATATTAGGGAAAATTCTTTCACCAAAGGGAGGTCAAGCACTGGCACAGGCTGCCCAGGGCAGTGGTGATGTCACCATCTTTGGAGGGATTTAAAAGCCATATAGATGTGGCTCTTGGGGACATAGTTTAGTGGTGGCTGTGGCATTGCTGTAATGAAGGCAGGTTCTTCCCAAACCAATCCTGCTGTTCCATTCCTGTATTAACCTCGCTGGTTATTCCAGACTGCTGCCACAGGAAAGATGCATTTTGAGTTTCACCACATAATGAGCAGCAATTCAAATATCTGAACTCTTGAACATCTTTGATCTCTGAACATCTTTTTCAACCCAGATGATTCCAGAATTGTACTGCACACACAAGCACATTGGTTTCCACCAGCGTTTTATATGGTCACCCTCCCAGCCCTGCACAACCATGTCCCCTCTCCTCTGTTGCATTAATTAAGCTGCACACTTAAATTCCTCTGTGAAATTCCCCTTACATTGGTCCTGAGAGAAGAAGTAAATTCAAAAGCTGAAAAGAGGCATTTATGTTCAATGCATACACTTTTATTCTATATATTTTTCTTTTCCCAGTATAGTTTTATTTTCTTTTTTAAGGACTTAGCTGCCTGCTTTTCCACAAGCCTTTAAACTTGACAAAAGGAAACCAACAAAGGGGGTCTGTTGCCTGGGGTCTTTCTTTAAATTAGATAAAAAGCCCCAAGAAGCTTTCCCCCCAAGATGCTGCAATAGGAATTCAGCATTTGCATGGGCTGGCGAGCCAATGGATGGATGAAGACAATCCCAGCTGAACAAGGAAGGGAAGAATGGCAGTTAGTGCACCTCTGCTTCTCAAAAAGCAGAGTGTTATGTTAAAGCCACCACAGGATTGTTTCTAAGTGCCACACTCCCAAGACAAACAGCCCCTTGCTGGGCTATTGCTGACAGGCTGCAGGAACACAGGCTAATAGGCATGTTCAATCAGGAGAAAAAGAACTTTTCTACCTTTCACTGAGGAGCTGGGGCTGAAAAAGCATTCTCCCAGAAGTGGTTGAAAGGACTTCCTCAAGAGAAGCAGCAATGAAATCCAGGAGTCATTTCAGGAAGATACCTGTCTGCTTCAAGCTTTCCTGGGACACACCCCATGGCTAGTGTGGCTTGCAGTGATCACCCAGAGCTTCACTCATTGTTTCTATTTAACAAACTCAGAGTTTCCACCACAATCTGAGACCCTGCACAACACCTCACCTTTCCCTATACATCCCTTTTGCTCCTGCAGCCAAGGGCTCTGCACCAGCCATGCACTGCCAGCAGCATTTCAGTGACCTGCAATGATTTCCCAGGCAGCTTCCCTGGAATGTTTAGCAACCCCTGTTTATTACTCCTACAAATTCTGATGTCACCTATCAGGAGCCCCAAATAAACAGCAGCACTGCCATGAAGCATCCAAGCACGTAGCACCACTAGAAATGTTATTTCAGAGTAGACAGACACCATTTACTCACCAATACCAGGGATACAGGCTGCCACTTTTATTCATGTGATGGTACTTTCACAGCACTCTAAAAATAAAAATGATTCAATATAAAGCAAAAATTACTTAACACTCACTGCCTGCCACAATAGGGAAAATAGGGTGTTCAACAGCAGAACCATACTCCCTGCATTTACTTCTCTCATTTTAAGCTAGGGAGGACATTTTCATGGAGAAGGAATGAATTATGTGAAGGGAAAAATACAGAATAACTTGCTCTTGCTCTTGTTCAGCAACAGCCAAATCTAAAATCAAATGCTTATTATATTCCTATTGATTAAAAAAAAACATACTTTCCATGGATTTTCTCAAAGCCAACTAATAACCACACTTGATAAATATGCAGTCAATTACTAAGCTCTTCATGTTATCTTGTAAAAATAAATCCATAGGCAGTAGGTTATAGACTGCAGCTCTAAAAAACATTTTAAAAATGAGCTTCCAGGAGAAGGACAATTATATTATGCCAAGAACACAGTTGAGATCAATTAGAAACCATCATGGTTTCCTCTGGGACACCAGCAACTTCTCACTGATGGAAAAACCTTTTCAATTCCTTCCAGTCTTGATATCCTTGTCAGATTTTTCACATTATTTGGGTAACATTCATTCATGATCTGCTTTTTTTTCCCCACTGCTTAATATATAACATGGACTCCTTTATTGCCAGCAGATGAATAAAAGGGCTAATTATAAAGACTGAAAAGCCTGCTAACTGTGCTTGTGATATGCTACATTATGGCAGTAGAAAATGCTGGAGCAAGCTTTCCCCTCCAGAGCTGTAATCCAGCTTCTGATTGTTGTATTCAGAGTATTTCCCTTCTGAATCTAAAATGTAATCTGCAAGCAAACAAAAAGCTGCCTGAGACTTCTCAGGGGACAACAGCCTCGTTTAGGTTCAAGTCCAGGACTGTTTTGTTTCAGGAAGGATCAAGATTCTCATCTATCTCCTCCTGTTCCAACAAGTCTCCCTGTAAGACATGCATTCCTAACACACCTGGTCAGCCACACCAACTTGACACCTCTATGGGAAGCCCTCATTTATGTGACTTTCAGCACATAAGCATACATGTAAATGCATCTCCTGCTCTTCCCTGCCTCTTTTCCTGGAGTCTCATATCAGGCATGACAGGCTCAAAGATGATTCTTGCCCAGGCATTGTGTATTCCCACAGAAAAAGAGCTGCACCTTGTTCAGGAGACAAATGGAGTTACCTCTCGCTTGCATCCTTGCTCTGAAGAGCTCTTCAGCAGATATACTGGGGAAGAACAGAGAGTGAATTCCCAGAAGGACTGGAATCCCAGAGTTTCTAGCTTCCTTCTAGGTCTTATATATCCCAGCTGACCTCTTTGTGTAACTTTAGGGATCTGTACCAGACCAGGGAGCTCTCCCCTCCTTCTTGAGTGCTTGTCTCAGCTCCTGGCTGATGGTTGTACAGGTTTATTTCATAAACTTTAATCAAAATTACAAATAATCACTCATAACCACCCCAGAGGCCAGCTTGTGGTCAGCTCCTCATGCAGTTGAGACATGGAAAACAAACCATTCCTACCAGGAGAAGCAAGCTGCACACTCTGATGTAGACTCCAGAAATCAGCTCCATCCTTCACGACTGCTCTCCTCTGTCACCATCCCATGCACAGAGCCAGCAGGGCCACAGCTGCTGCTCCTGCCTGGCCTTCAGCAGCGTGGTTGGGGTCTCTTGCACACAAACAAAAAAAACAACCCAACCAAAAAACCTTCCAAGAGTTCAGATATTTGAGTTGGTGCTCATTATGTGGTGAAACTTGAAATTAATCTTTCCTGTGGTAGGAGTCTGGGATAACCAGTGAGGTTAATACAGGAAAGGAAGAGTAGGATTGGTCTGGGAAGAACCTGCCTTCATTACACCATGCTGGGATGAGATAGAAGTATTTTTTACTTCTTTCAGTCCTTATTTCAAAGGCCATAGGAAAGCTGAGCATGACACAGCTCCTTCTTAGTCCAGGATGCTCCAAAATACTCATTTTCCTCAGGAAAACAATCAGTGCAGAACGGACGCAAATAAACCTGGGGAAATAGAGGGAATCTCTGCACTTCCCACCAGAGTATTTTCAGCTGGTTTGGGACTGAGGTTCCAAGGAAGCACCAGGCAGGAAACAGCCATCCCTCCCCATCCACTCCTGGAGCAAACTTACCTCTCAGGTATGAGAGGACATAAGAGAAAAAAAAATAATACAGGACTGCAGGGAGTAGAAATCACCACCCACGCTTCTCCTGGCACTTGAACTTTCCAGATAGCACAGAAAGAATTTTTTTTTTTTAAAGCAAGCTTTCAAATTTAATGCCATTCCTTGGCTGCTTCTGACAAACCATTCCAAGCACAGCAAGCTCATGTCATTACTTAAGCACAGCTTGCCTACTTGGGAATGCTGTGGCAGGAAGTTTGACTGAACCAGAGAAAGCAATCTACAAGAGCTGAGGAATTGGCATTCATTTTCCCCACGCTAGCAAAACACAGGCCAGAATTAAGCTGACACTTTATTGACAATAAATCAAACTTTCCCTACATAATCCATAAAAATGAATCAGGCACACAACACCTTCACAGTAGATGAGCAGTTTAAAAATAAATACAACAGGGACTCAGCTACCTCGTTACTCCAGATCACTTCTATTCCTCAGTGTTTTCTCTTAATAAAACAGCAGAGGCATTTACAAGAAGTTACTCCCTGAAATTATGACCTGCAGCTTGAGCACACTGAAGGATTACCTCGAAAAGGTCTCCCAGGAACACACCAGGCTACACTGGAACCCCGAAGAAGAACTTGGGCTAAGGCAGGATGCTCTAGCCCCAGTGGAGGGCACACCCAAGTTGTCACTCAGGATGAAAGCAGCCCCAGCATTTCCCAACTAACCTGTAACCTAAATTATCCTATGAGTCAAAAGCACCAGCAGGGAGTGAAGTACAGAACTCATCTGGCCAGCAGGTAGCACTCTTTGTTTTCAGTTTCTGGTGTGAAAACCAGACTTATCTTCCTTTTATTTTTTACTACTAGCTTTAAAAACATTTCAGAACAAGGTTATGGCTGGTTTGACTTTATTGCAGCAATAAGTGTTTTACTCTTCTACTGTTCATTATTTGTTAAAAAAACCCATTTACTGTGATTGTGATGATGTGCAGAGCTGGTAAGGAACAACCACCCTAGAGCAGTTCCATCTAGAAGCAAATCCACAAAATTTCCCTAAGCGCTCTGAAGACAGATTTTTCAACTCGGCAAAATCCAAGATGCCTAGCTTCCTGCTCTGCCTGCTGATGTGCAGCCCAAGCTCAGCTTCCATCCCATTCCACTTGCTAAAAGCACCCAAGACCACTTTGTTCCCTTACAAGCTGCTGTGTGTCACTGACTGGCAGTATTTGCAGGCACCATGGCTTCATGAGGCCATTTCAACAGCCAGGATAACAATGGAAATAATATGGGAAGTGAGTGGCCAAGGCTGATGAATTATTATTTCCCATTAGTCACCTCTGCTTGTCTCTGAGTAAGGTGTTTGCTCAGCATTCTTCCAGCTATTTGCTGTACACACCCTAAAACGCACCAAGCATGCGGAAGAAATAAAATAATCAAATGTGTTGAAATGAAACACAGGATGTTTTCAGTTTTTAAGCTTCCAGACAGGTGCTACTTCTTTTCCAAGTACCAATTCAAGGAGTTTGAGACAGACAGGATGGTAATCTACAGCCATTTCCAAGGAAAATGGAAATTTAGGATGGAAATTTAAATATCAATTCATCTACATGCTTTAAACACTAATGCCAGGATTATTTTTTCTTCCCTCCTGCACACACTTCATATTGTTATTTTCTAAGCACAAGAGTACACAGTATTTATTTAGCAGCTGTCATGTAAGAGATCAAAACAGTTTGACAATTTGGACACAAACCCCACACTCAAATATTTAACATTTGGGGGCTGAAGTTCTTCTTTAATGTCTGCAGAGACAAGGGAAGTTTTAATTTGACAAAAGCCTGTTTCATTCTTTGAGATACAATGTGGGAGACCAAGAAACATGATCTCCCACATCTCATCCCAAATATTAATCTCTAAAAGGAAGACAAAACGAATCTCTAAATGGAAACCCCAAACATGAAATGGAGACAAAATCTCTAAAATGCAAATAAAAGCCTCCTGCTACCCCACCAACACCAAATATTCAGGACACAGCTTTCCAGACAAGAGAAGGTGTCTCTCTCCCCCTTTTTCATTGCCAAACACCTCCCCCTCCAAGTACCACAAGTGATGTGTTTGTTTGCAACCCACAGGGAATTTGAAGATGGCAGAGATGAGCCCTACCCTGACCAGCAGCATCACATAGGGCTGCCTCAACTCCTTTGGAACCACTTGGGCTGGAAAAGATCCCTAAGATCATTGACTCCAACCTTTATTGCTGGTGCTTTCCTTGCCAAAGCAATCTCTTTTTGTAGGTTTAGGAAGTGTTTCAGTTAAAGGTAATATTTCCCTATTAAATACAGGAGAAAGGCATCCCATCTGCTCTTCAGGGTCTCACACCGGCCAGCTCTAGTACACTGCAACAGCATTTTGGGAAACATGAAAGGACTCAGGCTAATTTTGGCTTGGAGCAGAGGACCTTCAGGAGATGCTTCCTAGCTCTGGCAATCAGAGCTGGTAAGTTTACAGACCAGGTGAGCAGAGCCTGGGGAGTATCAGCTCTCCTGATCAGCACCCACACACCACTCACTCTCTGGCTGCTTCTCGTTGGGGGTGATGGATCTGACGAAATCCTGCGGGGTCATGAACACCTCAGACTCGCCATGCTCGTTGATGACCTTCAGCGTGGCAAAGTATCTGAAGATTTTGTCTGGTGTGGAGTAGGCTCTGATCCTGTTCTCGTATTCCATCACCTGGAAATGAAATTCAGCCAGCATTAGATGTTCACTGTCCCTGCCCCTCGCTGACTCTCAATCCTCAGAGAGATTAGCCACAGGACAAGTTACATGTAGCAACACAACTCGGGACAATTTTGCATTAATCCTTTCAAAAGCCTTTTGAACACCCAGGAAAACTGGACATATCAGCTGCTGATGTCCCAGGATTAAGAACAAACACTAAAAATCTTCATTGTGAATAACTTTAGACTCTTCATGGTGGCAGAAGAAAAAGAAATCCACAAAATTCCTGAAGGTGCTTTAAAAACATGAGCATAAGAAAACACACTGGCATCACATTTGTAGATCTAAAGCAGCCCAACATTTTAACCACAGCGTTGAAGGGTTTGATTTGTGATTAATATATGAAGTAAAAGAAAAAAGTCTTGGAAGGTTGGGAGAAACCTTTACTTTCAGGCAGAGCCTTGGAAAAATCACTTGGAGCCGCAGCCGGTTGCTCAGTCACCCAAGCCCATTTTTTCCTCTTTTCTATCACATTGGCAGAATTCCCCAGAAACTCAGTCCTCTCCACCAATCTGCTTCTTCCTAACTCTGCCAGCAGTGATTTCTTTTTTGGTACCTAGAATCATTTTCCCCCCAAACAGCTGGAATTAATCAAAGACAACAGACAGCTTTTCTAAACAAAATCCCAACACAAGGCCACGAGGGTGGAAAAAGGCACAGACACCTACACTTCATCATGTATGAGCACAGAAAACTTTCCTCCTTACTTCAGCTTTTCATTCCTGCATTATATGCTGTGTTTAACAGTCCATAATGTACTTGAAACCTGCAGCTGGCCAAGAGCCACAGGAGAAAAATATCCCCACCAACAATGTGCTGCAAGAGAACAGGCAAGATCAAGGGTACTGCCAAGGCAGCTGTAGATCATTCCTGGCTTTGGTCCTGGTTCAGCCTTGTCCTTAAGTTCCTGAACAACTTCCTCAGCCTGATGTTTATCAGACAGAAAACACCCCCTCTAGTTTTTCTTACTTCTAGGATAAAAAAGAGCCAAATATTTCAAATCCCCCAAGCCAGGCCTTTGTAAAGCAAATCCTCTCTACTCTGTATTTGCCCCAGATGACACTACCTACAATGAAAATACCTAAAGCATTCTCCCCCCTCATTTCTGCATCACCACAGCCTTTCCAGAATTCACACGTCCTTGCATCAACCACTACAGGCAGTTCCCTCCCTCCTGCAGGACAAAGTTTTTTTCACTAGGCCCTTTGGACTTCCAATCAACAAACCTAATTCCACTTTTATTGCTTCAGTCCACAGGGTTCTCCACAGCTAAGGGCATTGGAATGAGGAAAATTGCTTTATTGCCAAGCTCCAAGTAAAGATGACACCGACTTTTCCACCTCTTTCTGGCTTTGTCTACTGCTCCCACCTGGCAGGAGGCAGCTCCTTATGCCAAACTGATCTTTTCACTTGTGGGTGAAGGCCATGTCTCACTCCTGCGTGACCTGATCTCATGAATAACACCCCACCCAGCTTAATCAGCCAGAAACAGCTCGGTATTTTTACCTTCAAGGAAGACAAACTCAAGGACAGTATGAAATCCCAGACTGAGGCCAAAAGCAGACACCACAAACCACAACCAGCTCCCTCCATCCATGGTAACCCTTCAACACAGCCTGCTTTCTAGCTAAAAAAACCTCATTAGCCAAATTTTCCAAGCCTGTGGAAAAGTTTCTTGCAAGGTGCTATCAAATGCTTTCCCTCAACCCAGCTGGGCACAACTCAACAACCCAACCCCACTGCTGCACCAGAGACAGGAATCCTGACATTTCTGGCAGTAAAACCATGTTTCATTTTACCCCACTTGACTTCATATCCACAACGGCTCTTCCCTCTGCATCTATTTTAAGCCCCTGCTAAGATGCTACAATCAGGCTTGTTACTTTCAGGTGCTTTTCTCCTCATGTTTAAATTATTTTGAGTATTACCTCCACAGCAACAACATCTTAATAACAACATAGGCTCAAAACCACGTCTCCTGTCTCATCTTACAGCACAAAAAATGCACAATCTAGACCAAAAGAGAAGAACCTAAACTGCTTTTTAGCATCTCACAGGTTGCTTTCATCACAACGGAAATCGCACCTCTTCTACAAGCTTCCCTACAAGAAGGGAACAAATGCAGCCACACCTCTTCCCCTTTGCCTGCAGCTGAAATCTCAATTACATCATTCTTGGTAAAAAGCTAATCAGCCGGCAAAAACTGACAAATGTTGCAGCCCATCCCTCTGACTGCAAGGCTGGGTGCAACACGAAGCTAGGTCAAGAAGGGAGCAGCCAAGGTGCTGCAAATGGGAAAACCTGTTATTTATGACTGGGTGCTGAACATCAAAGGGGTGATAACAAGAGTGGCCTGATCCCCCAGCACAAACGTGGAGCTAAGAGCCCATGTATTTGGGTGCAGACAACCATTTGTAAGGGATTTTTGCACTGCTTCAAAGTCACCTGGACTGAAAATCATGCCAGGCAAGGGTACCATCTCCTTTCCCTACTACAAACCAGTCCTTGATGCAAGGAAGACCAGTCAAAATTCTCATCCTGCTCCCAGAAATGCAGCCTTACATAATCAGGCACCTTCAGAAAGATTATATGACCCCAAGGGAAAAATCCCTTTTTTGGATTTATTAGTAGAGCATGTACTGGAGGAGAAAGACAAGTAAGTAATCCCTGCTGCTCTACAAGAATGAAGGTGCTGTTGAGACTGTCAATGTTTATGCTAAGCCTCAGGTTAAAAGAAAAAAAAAAAAAAAACAAAACCTAAATCCTATGCTGAAAATAAAGCTCTAAATTAGCATCTCAAGGCACAGAGCATCACCAGGGCCTCCCTGACTATGCAGCAGCACACATTTTTACAGGGTAAATTAATTAGGACTCATTTTCTTTGTGCTTCCTCCTGTGACACACACCCAAATGAAGGCTCAGCATGAGGAACATCCCAAGGCAATATACCTGCAGGACCCAAACACTGCCAGTATATCTTGATAAGTCAGCCCTACTACTGCATGCAAACACTTTTAGCAAGTTAATTAACACATCAGCCCGCCCCCATCCTGTATTACAGCTCATTAGCCTTCAAACTGTACTGAGGCACTCAAGTAATTTTTTTCCTTTTCTGCCCTACATATCGAGGACCTACACCTGCCTGGGAACTATCCACACACAATCCCAACACCTGAAAGTGCTTTATGTTTCACCTTCCCCCTCCCACTGGATCACTATCTAAAACAGCAATGTCAAACTTAATTTATTGTTTCACCACTAATTATCACCTTCATTAAAAGCAACATTAGGATAACAAACAAGTGTTAAGCACTTCCAATTAGGCTTAATTTTTTTGGAATGAAAACCCCATGCTATTTCAATTAATTATGGGAAGAGCTGGGAAGTTTTTACTGTGGCTGGTGGTTTGTTGGGGTTTACTTAAACACGTAGAAGAGTCAAGAATCACTGAGGTGCTACACAGTTAGGGGAGCAGCACATCCTGGGAGCGGGGGCACACCTTCCCCTGTCATTTGAGTTGGCCACATTCAAACAGCTCTCGGGGTGACTCACTGCAGCAACTGCTGACCGAACACTGAGCCAGCACCTGAGACAATACCTGGCACATGCTGCGTTTAAAGGAGCTTTTGCAACATTGGCATTCAGGCCACACAAGGTACATTCTGTCTGGAGGCTGCAGAGAAAAGGCTTGTGTTGGCACAAAGACAATGAGGGCTGTCCCCAGGGAAATCACTGCTCCTGAGTTCCTGCTGTTGGAGAAGGCAGTCTGGGATGAGAAGGGATCCAGGCCACACTATTTCCATCTTTTAGGCATACCTGGCTTGTGTCTTATTTGGAAATCATGGCCATATTCCTCCCTACCTAGTTTGGAAAGGAAAGAGCTGGTCAACACAGGCACATCTCAAACAACTGGAACAATAGTCCTTGCCTGTAAAAAAACTTCCTCTGGCTTCCCCAGCCAGCAGCCATGTCAGACAAAAATCAACCTTTACACTCACTGTATTCAAAAGTAAGAGTGTGTGTGGAGGTGGAGTATGGTTTGCTCTCTGCAAACTGCCTCTGCTAACACTGGAAAAAGCCAATAACCTGCTTTTCTTGAGTAGTACTGGCAAGAGCACTGTCAGAGCACCTGACACCCAGCTGCCATGAAAATTAGCAGCTTCCAAGAACCCACATTCCTGGACAATTCTGAATATCTCAGCACAGTATCTTACTACGTAACTTCACTGAGCTGCCACCAACATGTCACAACAGGAGAAAGTCTGGAGCCCCAAATACCACGAGGCACTTGAAATCACAAGTTGTGTAATCTTTTCTGACCAGGAACCAAAATGATTCAGCAGCTCTAAAGGAAACAACTCTTAATTTTTCATGAGAGGCTGTTAAGCCACTATATATGACTACCCACAATTTAACAGCTAATGAGATGCAACTTCTAGAATACAGGCTTAAAAATAAATATCAGAAGCAAATCATAACAAAATGGGACTAGATTCTCTTCACAATTCCTTTCTCCTCTTTGGTGCTGCAAAGATATTACATCATCCAACGCAGCCCTATAAAACTGACATCCAGATGGGCTTAAAAAAATAAAATACTGCTATCTGCCAGCTCCCAGTTACAGGATTCTGTCAGATCCAGTTACACATCCTTTAATAACAATGGTTTCAGATAGTGCTAAACCAGTTGTCAGTTCTGAGGTGACCAAAGCTCCTGGAACTGCCCAAGAGTGAAGGCAGGTCACAAGCCAACAATAGAGCTTATTACTCAAGTTTTCCTCCTCTTGAAAATGTGTCTGATCTGAAAATGAAATAGCCAGAAGCATTGAGAGAGCCAGAACTAACCAAGAAGGGGGACCAAAGCTGTATTTCAACAAGTACATTTGCACAGAATAATTAAATGAAGAATTAAAGTACACCTTTTCCTATAACCCTCCCCTCCACATTCACCCTCTACTTTTTCCTGCATGCACTGTGTATATCCTCAGGCAAAAGGATGGACTCAGAGACACACATGCTGAATATCCCAAGTGGTTTAAAAGCTTTGGCACCAATTCCCTACTTTGTATGCACCATCTTAACAGCTATCAGTGCAGGAGCCTTGATTATTTTGGACATATAAGTAGAGGTGGGAGAAGAGGTCTCCATTTCAGAGGATCACAAATACACAAGTTTCGACCTGCAGAAACTCATGGCAATATGCTGAGAAAGGCTCCCAAAGAGTGAGGCTCCTCAGAAAATAAAGACAGGTACAGAGCAAGTTTTCCCTCGGTACCTTGCGGTCCCTGAACCCAGAGCGCTTCTTCTTCTTCCCTTCCGGTGGCGCCTCCTCATCACCCGAGGCCACTGCCCTCCTGTCCTCGCTGCTGCTGCTCTCCTCCTCCTCGTGCTTCTCCCCCGGCTCTGCCCTCGGGCCATGTCTGACAGAGTCTTCTGCATAGGCCCTGTACCAGGGAAAAGAAAACACTCATTTAGGGAGTGACTGAGGGGTGCCACTAAATGGTCCTGCCAGGCTCCACCTGAGTGCAACACTGGTTACAGTTCAGCAGGGAGAGCTGCAAAGCAAAAGCAAAAAAGTGACCAGTCCCCTTGGAATTCAGTGTACTTTTCCCTGTTGTAATCAAATTTCCACCCTACATCAAACCCCAGACTAATGGCCACAGTAAGTTTTCCCAGTCCAAATCACTCCGTGAATTATAACACCCTCTCCCAAAAACTAGACACGCAAGAAACACTAGGAGAAAGGCATATCATACCTCCTCTAGCACTAATTTCCATCTCTGCTTCCCCAAAAAGATGTATTAAGTGACAGAAATGTGTTTTACCCGCAGCACTGCAGGATTCAGGATGAACAACCTTTTTGTTTCAGCTCAGCTGATTTATTTTCTATCTCCAGCAGCTGACAAGCTGTTTTATCCCCTTCTTCCACCAATGACACTTCTAAACACCAGTGCTGCAGGATTTATGACAATAAAACTGGAGTTGTTTGTCCTCAAGGTGCAAATAAAACTCTGGAAGAGCCCAGGACCCCTTTTCCCTTGCTGTTCAAATACAAAGATCTTCAGTCAACTCTATTCATAGACCAAGACTCAACACTTCAAATCACTCAGAATCAGGAGCAACTCACAGAACTGCAACTAGCAATGGGATGATTAAATAAAAAGCAGGATAAATCCCTAAGCCAAACAATGCTCTGGCTTTCCCATGCTTTACTTGTAAAGCAGTTTAGAATCAGACAGAATTCAGACCACATTAACATCAGAGAGATGATAATCTCTGAGGATCCCTTAACATGTCACAAGCAACAAAGCCAATGGTTTGACAAAATTATTTCACTTTCTAAAGGACTCAAACAGCTCAGGGAAACATCCCATAATTTAAGTAAAATTGCCTTTACTTTGCATTCCTGGTGATTTATTTTGGACTAGTCACAGAGTATGAGCTCACACACAGGTGCTGCTCCTTGACCACTTTGGTACTGCCTAGAACTATGAATGTGGTCATTTACAGCTGTGTGAGTTTGTTTTAAAAGGGCTGCCTAGGGAGAAAAACAAAAACAAACCAAGATTTTTGAAGTTTCCCAAGCTCTAAACAAAAGGCTACACATACTTCATCCTACCAGTTTCCTGGAAAACACAGATATGCTATGTAATACTAACAGAAGAGAGTCTGTGTCTGTCTCCCCAGGATTCACAGAATCAAGGAATAGTTTGGGTTGGAAGGGGCCTTAAAAATCCTCTCATTCCAACCCCCTGCCATGGGCAGGGGCACCTTCCACAGCTTGCAGCAATCTCAGAACATCAGCTTCCAAGAAGGAGAAATGAGGATAAGTGCTCCATCAATTAATTTAAATGCGAGCAAAATAAAAGACAACTCTCTCCTTATCAGCATCCAATAATTCACTGACAGCACAGTACAAGACAGATGGGAACAGGCTAAAGAACTGCAAACGTCCACAGTACTGGTGGGAAGAAGACACTATAATTTATGGAATGGTTTGGGTTGGAAGGGATCAGCTTAGATAGGGATTCAGAGGTTTCTATCCACAGTGGGACAGAACACAGCTCCATTAAAGGGGTCTGATGTAATAAAATACACAAGTGTTCAGCAAAGAGCAGCATTAATCCTGCCTTTTCACATAGATATGGATTTTACACACTTTCTACTCTGAAAAGGCCCTGAGTCTCAACTTGCCAATATGTATTTGTGATCTTACAGCAAAGCACCATCTTTATGGCCTCCACTGAACCAAACTTTCAGAGACACGATACAAACCTGGTTCCTCCACAAGTACTTAAAGGTAGGGGAACTCTTTCCCCAGAACAGTCCAGCAGCTGATCTCTCTTGGAGAGCATGAAGTTCATGCTGGCACCTGTCCTGAAGCCTTTCCTGAAAGTTTAATCTGCACTGGCACACCCTTGAGGAGCTGTGGGTTTGGCTGAAAATGCAGCTGCCAGCTGAGGCTACACCAGCAGCACTTGGAAAGCCCTTGTGCAGGCATGACACCCATCTTAAGTAGCTCTGAGGGAACCTCTTGGGAAAAGGGACAGAAAAGCAGCAGGAAATCAACTGCCACAACTAAGCTATTCCATAGGAAACGTGCAGCAGAATAGCTGTATCAGGAAAGATTTGCTCCTGTAACATGTGATTGACAGCTAGCAGACCAGGGAAGAGATAGATGAAATTGAAAAATCAAACTTTTCTAGCACATCCCACGCATTCCTTCAAGTCAGTTGCTCCAGCAGTACAGATGGAGGCTGTTTGAATACAGTCAGCTTTTTCCTCCCTCTGCTTTATCCAGGTAATTAACTCTGCTCCACAACCAGACCACCACCCCAGCATCCAGGAAAATGAGCTGAGGAGTAAGGCAGAATCTGTAGGCTACTTCTCAAGCAAGGTTTTAACAGCTATTCCTCACCTCCAAGCCACTGGCCAAACTACTACTGAATTAACCACTGAAGGAGAAGCTCGCTACATGCACCTTCTCTGTGTATTTTACCACCCTCTGCTGAAATCCTTGGCTTCCAACAACTGCAACTTCCATACTCAACCCACATAAAAAAAGCCTTTCAGTGTAGATGTCAGAGTATAGCTGGAGGGAAAAAAACCCCAGAACTCCAGAAATATCCACCTTGCTGGCCTTCCCTCAGCAAGTGAGGACTCTCTCTCCCCTGTTTGATGAGGCTGACTTTGCAATTAAATTCCTAGTGCTGCAGCTTCTGCACAAAAGGCAAATTAAAATACAAAGCCTTCCTTCACTCTGTGCCAAGACCAGCCACCAGCCTTTCCCCATAGAGTGGGCCTGCCCTGGATCCTGAACCCTACTGCCATGCTTCAACCATTCTGATCTCTTCAGTTTTTTCCCCTCCAGTGAACTGAATCTGAAACAAAGTCTACTTCCCACCCACTTAGCAATATCTTCTTTGAATGCTTAGAGAAGGCCAATAATGAAATAAGATTAGATTCCTCATCCTCCCCAAAAACACTGAGCTACCAGAGGTCTGCAATGATAAATTCTCTCCTGGGGAACCATTCTTGAAGAGAGCCAAACACATGCAACCATAGGATACACATGCAGGAAGGATGCTGGGACTCACACTAAGCATTGGCACAACACCTCAAGTTGCAAGTCTTCCAATGAATCACTACCCCTCACTTGAAAGTATTTTTCTTCTTTGAATGACAGAAGCAGAACAGCATGAAAAAAAAAATCACAAAACTTTGTGCCAGAGATAACAGTGATCAGTTATTCTAACCCTGAAGGCAGTAGCAAAGTGCTCAGCTATCAGTTGCTGCTCAGCCTCAGAAGAAAATACAAGAGATGGGCCCTCAGGAGTCAGCAAACCAGAGGCAGGAGGGAGGAATCCTGCCTGACACACATATTCCTCAGCTGACTAAGAGTTGCCATTCTCCCTGTATGTAAACATCTGGGAACATCCCAGTGAGGTTTAAAAGCCACTTAAGACTTCAGGGCTTTCATGCTGTAATGAAAAAGCAAGCTAGGACATGGCATTCATAAAAACAGGCAACCTCCAGGGATCAGGAGAACTTTCAGCAAGGAACTCTGGCTCATCCTCAGCTCAACCATATTCAGCACCTCAATTAGTTACCTGAAACTTTAATAAGGAATTCACCAGAGAGGATGAAGAGCCACAACCCAATTTTTCAGTGTTGCCACACTCACAGGGCTCTTTACTACTTTGCTTCCCTCCTAATTTCTCACATACTCAACACCAATATAAATTGGCACAATGAATTTGTGGCAAGAACTCCACAAAGGCAGGTACCCTAATGACACCCTAATGCTGTGGTGTTCCTGACATTACCCCAATATCCTTGTGAGCATAAATCTGGTATTTCTTAATCCAGGAGAGGCTGCTTTCATTTCCAAACAGAGCTGACCACAGTGGGGTATAAGGCTGTACCCCCAGGATCTGATCCTTTCCTTCCCCAGTGTCCATGGAAAAAAAAACCCAGTAATTCAGCCAAAAGCCACTGGAGAAAACACAGCGTTCTTTCAAGACACCACTCCCAGACCAATGTGTCTTGAAGTCTTAGGAAAAAACCCTCAGCACAGCAATCCCAAAGAGAGTCTCTTGAGTGTGCCATCTCTCACAAAGAATTAAAAAAGAAGCATAAAATCACAAAATGCTTTGGATTGGAAGAGACCTGAAAAGATCAGCTCATTCCATCCCCCCAACACGTAAACACATGAGAACTCTAAAAATAAACTCACATGAATAATACCTATAATTTTTCATCTTTTCTCCATACATTAGGTTAAGTTGTACCTGACAGATCTGTAGCTATAAAATGGATTTCTCTCCTCTTGACTATGATTTATGTGGTTTCCTTTGTTTTACTATAAGAGAGATTTTTGAAGTCTCTGTTTCAGCTAGCATATTTCCAGCAATTCTCCCATTAAAAATGTATTTTAAGCAAATTACTCTAAAGTCCCTGGGACCTGTGCAAAAAAAAAACCAGTGCACTCTTAAATAGAGTTATAGAATCCCAAACCAGTTTGATTTGGAAGGAAACTTAAAGCTCCTCCAGTGCCACATCCTGCCATGGGCAGGGACACCTCCCACTATCCCAGATTGCTCCAAGCCCCATCCAACCTGGCCTTGGACACCTCCAGTCAGCCACAGTTTCTCTGGGCACCCTGTGCCAGGGCCTCCCTACCCTCCCAGGGAACAATTCTTTCCCAATATCTAAACTAAGCTGGCCCTCTGGCAGTGGAAAGCCATTCCCCCTTGTCCTGTCACTCCAGACCCTTGTCCCCAGTCCCTTCCCAGCTCTTCTAGAGCACTGTTAGGCACTGGAAAGAGCTCCAAGTTCCCAATCCCAATCCTTCTTCTCTCCAGGTGAACACCCCCAGCTCTCCCAGCCTGGCTCCAGAGCTGAGGGGCTCCAGCCCTGGGAGCAGCTCCATGGCCTCCTCTGGAGTGGCTCCAACAAGGTCCAGGTCTGAGGCAGCAATTTCCAGAGCAACACAGGTGTCTTACCCTTATTCTTACCACTAATTTATTCACAGAAGGATAAGAAATGGATCATTTACTAAGTATTTTCAGTCTGTCAGGAAGAGCACTGGTATGACTCTGCTTACAGAGGTCACTCTGTGCCCCCAAAGGTACCTTTGCTCCCTTACTTCATTCAACGTTAGACTGATTAACAAGCTTCAGCACCAAAATGCAATGTAAGTGCTTTCAGACGCCCACAGATTCAGCCAAGAAAGGTTGTGACATGAAGAACAGATCTGCAGCCATTTACTAATACATTCCAAATGGGTATCAGAAACTAGAAAGTACAAGTTTTACACCAGGATCAGCAATAGAATATTTTTTACAAACATTAAGCTTGCCACAAACTTCTCATATATTGGTGCCTCATTTAGAGTAGCCAATGACTGCACCAAGATTAATTTCAATTAATTCAGTTCATTATGCCAGTGCCCAGGTACTTAATTGCTTCTCTTGCCAGCTGGAAATCCTGAGAGTTTAAGTTATTGCTGAGAAAGTGTAAACTTCATTAGTCTTCTAAGCTCAGCTATTTGCACTGCTCAAATATTCCTTGCCACAGGAAAACTGATCAGCATGAGCTACTCCTGTTGTATAATAATTTAGATGAGATACATTCCCCAAAAGCAGGCAGCAGGACTTCCAGAGAGCAGGGAAGGCAACAAGAGCAACACTTACCTACAATGGACCAAAGATCCCACCAACCCACCTCCCATCTTGGGAAGACACACCATTAAGTCTATCTTGCATCATACAACTACAGGACTTTTCCATATGTATCTTTTTACTCCTCGATTTCTTCTCTACCTTTGTGTGAGCTTACTTACCCCAGCACTGGCTTCTGCTGCTGCTCAGAGCACATCCTACAGAATCCACCTGAAATACACTGGTTTCAGACTATATCTGATAATTCCTGTCTTTCTTCACACCACCACCATCTTCTACTTATCTAGCCCAATAAACTTAAAATTTCCAACTGCTTCTTGATCTGGCCTGGTACATCTTTAATGCCTTAACTGTAAAGAAATATTCACATATTTATCTCTTAGAACAAATTAATTATACTTATTGCTACTTCCTGTACTAACTCAGGACACACCTACCTGAGGATATTATTACAAACATTCTGTATTCACCTACTCTCCAACTCTACTGATCACCTAATAGGCATTTTCAAAAAGACAAAAGAAATTTACACTTCATCCCTTATTTCTTTAAACAAGGCTAAAATGCCCACTTGAAAGTCCATTTAAAACTTCCACAGATGTCAGTATGAAGAATTTTCTACATCAAACATATCAGTTTTGTTCCTTGTTTTATTCAGCAGCTTTAAGCCAAGTAATTAAATTAACATCGTAAGCTTAGGTGCACTTTTATTTTACAGTTGCTGACATTGAGGATTTATTTTATGGCTCAGGAAAAGAATACTTGAAAGTCTGTACAATTCTATTTAGTGCTTTTTAAATTTATAAAAGATGAAGAAGACAGAGCAAGGAAAGGCAAAACAAGTAATAACAGCAAGTAGTCAGTCTCTCCAGATTGTTGAGAGCTGTGTCTCACTGATTTCTATCAATGCTTTCAGCTGAGGAAGGTGCCCAAGGACCTCCAAGGAACAGCAAAGTACTCCAGGAGCCAAAAATCCCTCTCTGGCCCAACACTCCACATAGCACAAGTACAATCCTCCTGATAAAAACAACACCAGCACCTGAAAACGTAGCTGGTTTTAAAAGCAGAGGAACCTGCTACAGAAGGGAGATATTAACTCTGCGTCTCTGGGACAACTCTATATAGAACATGATGTCCTACTGACTTTCTGATTATGTCGAGGGAAAGGTTTGCAGTGGAAAAACCCCACACTCTTCCCTGCTGGAAAAGGGGAGTTATCCTGACCATTCTTTCAGAGGCACTGACTGCATCAGTGCAGATCATTAGCAAAATGCAGCACAAAACGACACTGTGCTGGAACACACTGTTCTTCCTCCACAAAGCAACTCCTTTTAGCAGAGAGCCAGCTTTGACAGCTCTAAGAAACAGCCAGAACAATTCCCATCACCTTTCTTCCACTGCATTAAAACTTCAGCCTTCTAGCCACAGGTGAGCAGGAAGCCAGCAACAAATCCCCTGAGTATTGGAATGAAAAAAACACAAGCTTTCAGCAATAGTTTATTTTTAGAGTCCAATTGCAGTCATGTGCTTGAGCGACACTGCCGGTGCCACGCTGTTCCCAAGTAATGGAAGAGAAGGGAGTCCCTGTTTTACTTCAGGCATGGCACAGCCCCAGGGTTCAGTGAGCATCACCTCAGGAAGGCCCAAACATCCCCTTTTGCCTCAGTTACAGGAAAGAGCTGTGAGCCTCAGAACCCATGAGGTGTCCTAAAATCCACATCAACCCTGTGTGCTGCTACCTTCCCACCCAAAGACAGACTATTCCCTTCTGCTCCTATGCTGCAAGCATATTTATATATCAAGCAGCCAGCAGATCACACAAAAAAAGAGAGGAGCAAACCCTGCCCAGATGTGCTGTTTCAATTAAAAGTTGTGAAAGTGAAGGTTTCTCTCTTCACACCACCACAAACCACCAGACAGGGAGGAAATGAGGCAGAAAAACACATCAAAGAGCCCGTGTGAGACAACGCCTCACTTGAGCTCTGTCCTGAGCACTGCCAGCAGCAAAGCAGCTCCTCAGGGAATCACCCACAGCCATTCACAGAATTCACAGAATGACCAGGTTGCAAGAGACCTCCAAGATCATCAAATCCAGCCTCAACTAAACCCTGGTGACTCCACCACCTCCTTGGGCAGGCAATTCCAGTACTTCATCACCCTTTCTGCGAAAAATCGTTTCCTAATATCCAACCTATATTCCCTTGGTATAGCTTAAGGCTGTGTCCTCTGGTTTGTCAGTTGGTGCCTGGACAAAGAGACCAACCCCAGCTGAGCACAGCCTCCTTTCAGGAGTTGTAGAGAGTGACAAGGTAACCTCTGAGCCTCCTTTTCTCCAGGCTGAGCACCCCCAGCTCCCTCAGTCATTCTTCACAGGGCTTGTGTTCCAAGCCCTTCACCAACCTTCCTTCCATGCAGCAGCAGCAGGACAAGCAGAAGCACCACAGGTACTTACCAGAGGCAGGAAAGAAATGAGAAATCCATCTATTACCTCTGCCAAAGGAATCTGGCACTCGCTGTGGCTGCAGTGGTCCCCAGGAAAGCCGCCACCACGAGCCTACGCCGGATGCCAGGGTGCTGGGCTGTCCCATGGTAATGCCGGGACATCGCCGCCAGCCCCGCGGCCACGGGCAGGAAGCGCAGCCGGAACATCCTGCGGAATGAGAGCTGCTTCAGGACAACAAAGTTTCCAAGGGTTGCCGGTCCTAAACTAGGAAAAATTTCACAGAGTAACTCCCGGGTGTTTAGTACCTGTTCTGAAAGAGGCACATAATCTGGCTAATAAACAGATTAAAAATGCTTGTGAGTGTCAGGTATTGGCACACACCTATAGTAAAAAAGACAACCTTAACAGGGAAGAAATTATGATGTCTGGCTCCAGATCAGAAGGCTGAAGGATAGCTTTATTAAAACTGTACTATATGATATTAATATACTATTTAAAGAGAAACTATCCTATTCTACATACATACTTCTTACTTACCTATCAACTAACTAACAACTCGTGACTTCTCTGCTGAGAGCCCGAGCCACAAGTGGATCCGACTGGTCACTGAACCCAAACAGTTTTCAACAGAATCCAATCCAGCAACCACTTCAGGTAAACAATCTCCATATGGGGAAAACAAAGGAGCAAAGATAAAGATTGTTTTCTCTTCTTCTCTCTGTGCTTTTCCTGAGAGAATTATGTCTCTGTCCAGAGAATGTGAATGCCACACACACCTGGCTGTCACATCCAGCTGTTAATCAGTGTTATTCCAATTCCTCAGCCTTTCCGCAAAACCCTCATCAAGAGGGAATCTCACCTTCCCACGGAGGCTGTGGACTCCACATCCCTGCAAATGTTCAAGGCCATGCTGGATGAGTCTTGGAGCAACCTGATTTAGGGAAGGTGTCCCTGTCCTGCAAGGGGTTGGAACTGGATGATCTTAAAAGTCCGTACCAACCCGTATCATTCCATGATTCTATGAAATATCTGCAGCCCATCTCTCAATTTCCAAGGCATGGAAGATGGCAGGTAGACCTGATAAAAAACTACAGCGGGTAAGAGGCATTTAGCCAAAAGCAAAGTCATAGCTGGATTTTTAAAAGGCAAATTTAGCCAAATAACAAGCAAACCTATCAAACAAAACCCAACCCAGGCATTTAAATTTTCCTCAGAAACCCCTACTGTTCTTAAATACCTTTTTTTATCTAGCCTGAAGCAAAGCATTTATATGCAACTGTAAGTACAGGACAAGTTTCAAAGTGTCAAAGCTTACAAAATACAATCCATACACCATTATATGCCCAACAGAACAGAGACAAATGGGAAAGCAGAGCTACAAATCCAAACATAATTACAACAGAGAAAAAGGAACCACAGAAACAGCACCTCATCACACACCAGCTGCAGGAGGCAAAGCAATTTTGGTAGCTCACAGGATTGAAGGCGAAGGGTAAATGCTGCCTTTGAAAAGAAAATTTGCTGCGTGTTCTTATGAAATAAAGGTTTTATTTCTCAGGCAAATGCAATATTTTCATTCACAAGGTCAGCAATAAAATTGGGAACAGAATGGTAAAGGAATTCCCAAAAAAAACCGCAGAGGAGCAGCAGCCTAATTTTTCCTTTTATTCCCCATTCTTGCCATTCTACTCACATATCCCCAGGCAGTGAATAACTACAGAATACAAAAAATAAAGCCATAACTATTGTTTTCTATTTGCTTCTGCAACACAGGATGCCACCACACTATTCTGCTGAACCAAAACTGAGGATCCTGGGACCTGTCTGTGCAAACACCTCTCATGTGTGTGGTGTGTTAGGCCATTCCCACCGCAGAGAGCTGGATATATCAGTGCCACTTGATGCAGGTCAGGATTCCACAATGGAGGGATGCACAATTTGGGATGGGAACAGAGGAAGAGGGAGGGAAGACACTCAAATATTCAGCAGGTAATTGTGAGGGCTGAAGCTCAGTATCTTTAAAGGCAAGAGGTGGTAGAGGAGGCCCTGAAGACTTCACAGCACAATCAAGTAATGAAAAATTGTTAACAAATCCCTGCTCAGTGGGTTTTTTCAGATTAAGTTCAGACTAAGACTTTTGCCCAGTCCTGGGACAAGGGAGGTGGGAGCACAAGAAATGGTGGAGGTGGCAAAGCCACAGGCTGTGCATCCATCCCCACCCTGGTTTATGGGCAAACACAGCAAATTTCAGTGCTCACAGTGAATCCATCCAAACAGCATCCATTTGATATTCATCTGTGCTCCTATTAAAATTGGAATTATGGTTTTGTTTATTCTTTTTCAAATAAACAGGTTTAAAATTCAAATGTTAACAGAATGCAGGCAGCTAACAGCACTGATCCAATCCTCTCCAGCTCTGAACGAGATGGTTATGAAAAACAACTCTGATTTCAAATTTAAAATTATTTCCACTCTACACAAACCTGATGTTCCCATTTTGTCTCCAGGGATGAATTTCTGTTCCATATGCAGAGGAAAATCTGCATGTGTTCCTTTCCCCAAGAAGCTATCCTTGCCCTTTCTAGGGCTCCTCATCCTAATTACACTTTATATTCCTAACATGTATTGGATAAGAGAAGTATTGCCAGCATCATTTAATCAACCAAAATGGAAATTAAGCCCCACAGCGTTTCCTTGGGAGTTTGAAGAGATTTTTTACAACATTTCTGATCACTGACTTTAGTACTGCATAAATGTTTACTCTGCCTGAGCCTTAAGAAACACTAAATTATCTGCTTTGTCCAAGCAATCTCCATCCTTGATTTTGCTGGGATGTTTGCCCAGTGTTCACTTGGTGGCAACTGCCTGAGAGAGCTGAAAGCAGTTCACACAATTGCCCCAAAATAAAGAGCATCTTTATCTCAGAGCAATTTAAAAAATCCCTATGGAAGCTGAATTTGTCATCTGCAATTTCTACACTCTCTCACAATTTCCTTTCTTTAAATCAAAAGTGCCCTGATATTTGGTATATTTGGCTAAAAACTCCAGGCACTGAAGTCAAGATCACTTGAGAAAGATGATGCTCACTTTTAGAAAGATTAAAAATAAGCATCTTGTCCTGTGCAGCAACAAAAAGCTCAACACCAGTTTGCAGTAGGACTAGGAACAAAACTGAGATCAAGTATGAAACTCCCATCAACTGATATGATTACAGCTTACAATCCCTATTCCTGAATGATTTACTATAATAAAAAATTTTTAAAAGAAAAAAAAAAACAACCCAAAAGAAAAAAAAAAACCAACAAACACTTAAATTTTATGTTTGCTTATTTTTATTATTTTGGAGTTATCATGATGTTCTAGAACTACAGCTACAAGGAAATATGTAGACTGTATTTATGTTTCCAAGAGATAAGCCAACCTTACCTTAAATTCTTGCTCAGAACAACTCTGTAGTTACTTTCAGAGGTTGAATCAATATCCTTGGACAAATGAAATAGTTGGGGCTTTTTTCCAGAACAGAATGACCCATCTACGTTTATTTATGCCACAATTCATAGGTGGTTTTTTTAAAGCAGAAGAGTCAACAGAGAGACTCAAACCCACTAGGAAAACACCACTTCCAACCCAGGACAAAAGATGCTCCACTCTGACTGAGACCATCAGGTCAGGTGAAAAGAAGCAATGCAACATTATTTCAACAGTTACATCACTTCTGGCTTGATGTGGGTATTTGATTTCCCCAAACAATGACCCTCTGTCTGCTAATCTGGTCTCCAAGGAAAATGAGACAAGCTGTCCACCTCTGGCCTTTCCAAAGCTCTAGATATTTTTAGTGCAGAAAAGAATTAGAAGATCCCAACTCTTGCATCCTTTTTCAGATACCAAAAGGAGATAACAAAAAGACTTGCTCCTGGTTTTCCAGCTCCCTAATTAGCTCATGATTCCAAGACTGAAAGCACTAAGCAGCTCAGCCTGAGGAAAAGGGGCTACCCACACTTGGGTACCCCCAGCACTAAACTTTTGTAGATCTTTTGGAGATCCAGAGCAGATAAAACACTTGAAGCAGCATTTTGATGTCAAAGCTGGCCTTGGCAGCACAAGCATGTGAGAAGGAAAACAGTAATTCAAGAAGCCAGTGGGTGTTTAATTTTTCATCAGAGAAGGGGTCACACACACTTATTTGAAAAATTTTACTAGGACATGGTAAGCCCATGAATTAGTGCAGAATGCCAATTGTAAATTTTAATATACTGCTATGCAGTAAGATCTTCTGGGAAAAAAAAAAGTGTATTTAGGAGGCACCATTTAGGCATAAAAATTCATGCAGAGACTGGCTGAGATGGAGTCACTAAGAACTCAAAGAGCTTTCTGAAGCTGTGTGTTCATTAAAAAGCCAAGTTTGACGTTGCCAGAGCACATCAAGACATCCTGACCCAAGAGATGCTGTAGGAAAATTCCTCACCTGTTCCCATCTCAGCCCCTGACTGTCAATTATCCCTCAGCCCTGCTCACTGAAACCAGAGCCAACAGCAGAGGAGTGAGGGGAACAGCTCCCAGCTCTCCTGTCTCCATCTTCTTGAGAGGATTGGGGAGACGAAGGAAAAATTAAAATGGGGAAAAAAGGACAATAAATCAAATGGAAAGGAAAACTCAACATGCAAAGGAAAGGGTGAAGCAATCAGGAAAGAAGTTTCACTGTAAACACTGAGATTCATAAACCACGGGGAAAAAAACCTCAGAGCTTCAACCTGCCTCCACCAGTCATGACTTCTTCCTAGAGAAGCTGTGGCTGCCCCTGGATCCCTGAAAGTGTCCAAGACCAGGTTGGATGGGGCTTGGAGCAGCCTGGGATAGGAAAATGTGTCCCTGCCTATGACAGGGGTGGCACTGGATGGGCTTTAAGGTCCCTTCCAACAGGAACCATTCTATTATTCCATGAAATTTGTCTAAGAATAACTCCTGAAAGGGTGCCAGGAGGTGCATTCCAGGTAATGAAACACCTGGATCCCCTCCTTCCCCCATTTCCAAAACAGACCCAACAGCTCCTGCTCTTTTCCCCTCCAAATTTTCAGTTTACTGAGCACAATTTTGAGAGAAAGGATTTCATACCTTACTGAAGTTATTAGCCTACCAAGACACATAAATCAGTTTTGGGAAAATGAAATCTAGCAGTAAAAGTAATTTCTCCTCAGGTAGGAGACTGGGGCAATATTTGATCCCATTAATTTTGCTGGAGAGGAACCAGATTTGTTTCAGAGCACGATTCAAAATGATGTAGAGTCTACCAGGTATCAATCAATGCACAAACTTAAGCCATAGCCCAGCAATTTCTTTTTAATTGTCATTGCAGTAAAGTCTCACCTCTTCCTAAAATCCTCAGCCCTGGAAATGACCAATCCCCAACTGCACAGCTCTGTAACTACACTCAGCCATGGCTCAGCCTCCCCTCAGAGATGATCAGTGACATCCCTCCCCTCATAAGCTGCTGTATTCTGCCAAATAATTGCACTGATTCTCAGAGTAAGGAGAGAAGATTATGCATTGCAAACACACAAGCTTTTAGATTTAGCTTTAATAAAACATTTTTTAGAAATTGCAACTGGATTATTTATAAGGATGTAGGACAGTAGCTGGCTTGAGCTTCCCTTGAAAGGGAAACAGGAGTGTTTACATCCTGGGGAAATATTTTGGTGCCACTAAACTGGCAGAAGAAACTTGGCAAACTCAACAGCAACCCCAAATTTCACCTGTGAGCTGAGTCACCAGAGGACCTGAGAGTAGATGGATGCAGTCACCATGAAGCACAGCTCTGGAGACACAAATGTAAAGTGAGTGTACCAAAACAGAGTAAACTGGGCCCATCTATTGCAGCAGCACTGAAAATAGCACCTCCACAAGGATACACCATTTCCTTGCTACTTCAGACTGTCAGACTCCAGCAATGCACTGTAGGATTCTAGGAGGCAGCTATAAACTTGCACAGAAACAAATGCCAAATGCTGTTTTTTCCTGGTTCAAGCTTCCCCTTCCCCATTCAAAATGCAGCACATTCCTTGAACTTTTCTGCCTAGAAAACATTACAGTACACCCCAGCCACGAAAAGCTCCCTAGAAAAATCTAGAGATGTCAAAAGTAATTTAGAAGAGCTGTAAAAACAAAAACCAACCAAAAAACTTCACACCCTTTATTAAGCTACTTCTACCCTCATCAGTACTTTGAAATTTCCTTTTTCCAACTGTTATTCTCAAATATTCAGGCTGCCTTTGCAAACCAGCCACTCCAGCAGGTGCACTAGAGCACAGATATTTCCACACTGATTTGAGGAGCAAAGGAGCATCAAAGACCTGTTGGCAGAGGGGTAGAAAACATAACACATCTGCCTTTTCCTATAAAAAGTTACAGCCAGCAGGAATGCATCTGCTTAATGGCCTGACTAATTTAACTTGCCTTGCACAATCTGTGTCCACAGGGCATGTTTTCCCTGAGAATTCCTAACTTTTCCAAAGAATGGAGAGACTCTCCTTGAAGCTTCATCCAACAGTCATCCACCTGCATGTACCCCAAAAGAAACAAAAAATATCTCAGAGTAGTCACATTTAAGAAATATTTATGGCTCATTGGGCTCCAAGAAAACCAGTGTTAACTCCTAATGAATAAACATGAAAAATTAATTCTGGAAGAGAAAAATTTAGAACAAAGCAAAAGCCTCCCTAGGCTGACAAGGTGGCAGTTTGGCAGGTTTGAGTTACCTGCAGATACAATTCCAGCTTCAGAAAGAGACAAAGGTTTTTTGAAGCATGTCAGAGAGTGGATTGTCTCAGAATTTGATATGGTGAAGTCTGAACTCCTCTGTGACAAGGAGGAAAAAGATCTGTGAACCCTCCAAGAACCTGAATATCACAATGTGGTAATTTCTCCTTGGCTGAAGTTGCCTTTTAAACAGAAACATCATGTATAGCCACATCCTCCTTAAGAAAATGCTTCTTCCTGGCCAGAGTCATGTACTTTGGTGGCTCTCTTTTCTACACAAAGAAATTTTAAATTAAAAACTTACTGAAACAGACAAAAATATTCACAGCACCTCTGTTTCATCTACCAGATGGAGATTGTTTGGGAAATCAGCAGAAGAGTACAGCATTGATTTCGCCCTAAAAAGGAAAGGCAGGTCTGAATCACTGCAGTTGCTTTTCTTTTGCTTTTGTTGGATTACCTTGAACTTCAGACAGGAGAAAGTGCCAGGCTAGTGCCTTGTGCTTGTAAAACACAGCCTGAGGAGCTGGGTTTCAGCAGGAAAAAGCCAGCAGCAAACACATGGCTCCACCCAAGGTGGGCAGGCAGGCACACCTCAGGTACCTGTCTGTATCACAACTGGGATTTTTGTGACAAAACCCCCACTGCTCTTCTAGCTCATGAAGCAAAAAATGCCAGAGGTGGGAACTTTGCATGAAACAAATGAAAACACAGAAATTCAAGTGGTGGTACAGAACACAGCTGGTCCATACAGACACTGGGGCTGGCTGGTGTGTGTCAGCACAGCAGCTTTGTCTGCATCACAGACAGGCCATGAATTCTGGAGCCACACAGATTCCCAGGGCTCATGTTTCAAACACAGGTCAGCTGCAACTCCTCTTGTCTCAAACCATGACCTTCTTTCTTGTTGTCTACATGAGGATCTCAGATTCCACATCACAGAGCTGAAGTGAGAGAAACAACTAGGAATTTTACCTTGAGAGACCTTGGAGACCCAGAAAAAAATCCCCAACCCAAACCTTGTGCCAGTCTCAGTACAAAATTCCCAGTTACAACCATCAGTGTTTTGGTTCTTCTAACCTGGTCCTGCCCCACACCCACAGACAAGGAGCTCTTCAAACGGTGGGACTACAATTAAAAGCTGCTCTCAAGAGAAGTTAAATCCAGAATGCACAGAAATAAACTCCTTAGCAAGTTTCTCTGGGGATAAACAAGTGACTGTACTCCCAGACAGGGCAGTAGACAAGCAAAACTCAAAATTTACTACCCAAGGACTTTTCAGATAAGTCCACAGAAGCCACAGTAAAACAATTCATGATCTAACAGTCTGGTTTTCCTCTTTTAAGGTATCTTAAATCTAAAACTAAGAGGTGAAGCTGCCACAGGCTTTGGATGGTGTGTGCTTAGGGAGACAAAGTGCCTCAGGCTCTACTCACCTTCTGCTATGAGTCCATGTATTTTTTACTTGAAGTGTAAAATGCATCACCCTAAAGATAAATATTCATCCTCAGTCTTTCAGTACCAACAAAAGAGCTGCAGAATGATTTTGGACAAGGACATGGAGCAAAAGGACAAGGGAGAATGGCTTCCCACTGCCAGAGGGCAGGGAAGGATGGGATATTGGGAAGGAATTCTTTCCCTGGGAGGGTGGGCAGGCCCTGGCACAGGGTGCCCAGAGCAGCTGGGGCTGCCCCTGGATCCCTGGCAGTGCCCAAGGCCAGGCTGGACAGGGCTTGGAGCAGCCTGGGACAGTGGAAGGTGTTCCTGCCCATGGCAGGGGTGGAATTGGATGGTTGTTAAATAGCCTTTCCTTTCTGTGTTTAAGAGGGAGCCACACCATTTACAGCACACTTTTCTTAGAACAATTCAGTTTAAAAAAGAAAGGCAATTTTAATCTCAAAGGTGTACAACACCCAAAGACCCTGGGTAACTGTTTCCTGATAAATTATCCCAAACGACATCATCCCACCTGAAGTCACATCTACACCAAGACAGTTTTTCACCCTTCAACATCCCAACAGGAAATCACAGCACCAGGAATTAATACAATTAAGGTTATTTTTATTGTTGTACCCAAGCATCCTCAGCCCCACTGTACTGAGCTAAAATATTTGGCCCCAATATGTCAACTGGGAACTTGGGAAGAAAAACCCAAGCATTTCCATATCCCAGATCACTTCAGGAAGTGTTACTGCAGCAACTGGAACAGCATAAAACAGTATGTTTTTATAATAAACTTAATATGACTGCTACAGAACTTATTTTGCTCAAGAAAATAAAAATGGTTATTGCCACATTCCAGATCTAAACATCCTGATGGCTCCCTCAACTATCACCTGAAAAAAGTAACATTTCTGAGCTGCTGCTTCAAAGCCCTGCCCAGACTTCAAATGATTTTCAAGTCTTGCAGCCTGAGGACAACTGGATCATGTCTCCTCAAACTCTGCCATGAGCTTACCCAGGAAGCCAGGAGGTGCAACAGGAACTTGCAGGGAGAAGTGTCAGCCCCAGTGACACACAGGGTTCTCTAGAGGGTCCCAGCAGGCAGACAGTGATGATAGAATCAAGACACATCATTCTTTTTCCTCCAGGGCATGGAATTTCAGCTTCCTGGGCTCAGGAAGCATTAGGGAATACCACAAAAGTTGCTGCAGGAAATGGGTCATTGGGAGAACAAGCCACTTCCACAAGGAAATAAAGAGGGGTTACATGAGCTTAAGACTCACTGTAAACACCTTCCACCATCTCAGGTGGCTCCAAGCCCCATCCAGCCTGGCCTTGGGCACTTCCAGGGATCCAGGGGCAGCCACAGCTTATCTGGGCACCCTCACATGGAAGGATTTCTTCCCAATATCCCATCTAACCCTGCCCTCTGACAGTGAGAAGTCATTAAATGCTCTGTTGCTCCAGATAGACAAACACATAGTTTAAGTATCTTTTATTAGCTTTGGTTGTACTTTTGTTGGTGCTTTTTATATACCTCCCTATGTTCAAACACATTTTTAGTGACTACTTCAGGTTTTTTTGGTGTTGGGAGTTTTTTTGCATTTTATGAAAGTGGTGGAACAGCTGAGGTTGGCTTGACAGAAAGCTACAGGCAGACAAACCTCTTCCAGGGCTCAGTGTGCCCAAGCACTTGCACCAGGAAAGTCAGCACAACTTTGTACACTGCAAAAAAAAGGCAACTCATTCTCCTACAGCTTTAAGAAAAGCCCTAAGAGAATGCTCCAGGACAAGAATAATTCTACGCAGGGTATATTAAGGGTAACAATCAGCCACATTATGAATTCACCAGTTAAAGCACCTGAAAGCAAGGACATGCTCAGCACTCAGCAGTACCATCCTCACCTGTAGTGTATTAGCTCCCAGTTTGCAGATAAAGAGGTCACAGAGAACACAGAGAAGTACTTCTCATCTGGGGCCTGTTCTAAAGATGAGAAAAAAGCATAATGAAGATCATAACTTTGTGCTGCACACAATTTTCCTCCTGGCAGTCATGCCCTGCAGTGCTCATACTCGACCTCAGTTTATCGACCACAGGAAATGCATCTCAGACTGAGCCAAAAAAGCCAGGAGGAGGAAAATGGTCAACAGCTGAATAAAGGAATTAAAGATAAGCCAGGCCTTTAGCTCAAGCCTGCTGGCAATGAGGATTCTAAAGGAGAAACCTCCAGAAATCCTGCCTGGTTTGACCTGCCCACACCCCTAGACCCCACTAAACAGCCAGATCCTTCCCAAGCAGTTCATTAAACTACAGGCAAGTACAGAGCACATCAATCACGTTGTGATAAACATCAGGCATTTCTGGTCTCCGAGCAGTACATTAACTCAAATTCACCCTAAAGTTTTTCCGACACAAACTGCACATCAAACGCAGCTGGGGCCATTCAGCAGAGTTGAAGCTTTAAAGAACCTCTATCAAGAGAAAGTGTTTTGACGTGAGCTCTGACACACGGCGATAACTCACACAGCCCGGGCAGCGCCGCCGGCATCCCACAACCAGCAAGAGAAGTAACCCAAAGGCAGGTGCTCGCACGGTGGGAGAGCCCCACAACACTCCCTGCAGGGCCCCCGGGCGCCGCACACCGGGGGACCCCCGTTCCCGAGCGCCGCCACGCAGCCCCAGACCCGCGGTCATTTCCCAGGGGGATGGAGAAGCCACAAGAACACGGCATCCCGAGCCTCGTGTGTGCCGGAACACCTGGTTATCCCGGGCAGCAGCTCTGTCTCAGCCTGGGACCCCTTAGCCCCAAGCCTCGGGAGCCAGGAGCCCTCACCCCCGAGGCCTTGGAGTCCCTCAGCCCCGGGAGGCAGGACCCTCCTATTCCCGGGGCCTGCGACTCCCCCTAGGCCCGTTTCCATCCCCGTGGCCCGGGAACCCCTGCTCAGCCCGCAGAACTCCCCTGACACCTACGGCCTAAGCAGACCCATATTCCGGGGCCTTAAACTTCCCCGTGCCTTGGGAACGCCCCCTCCCCGCCCAGTTCTGGGCTCTGGCATCCACTCAGCCCCCATCCGCCCCAAGGCCGGGAACACTGCAGCCCCGGGACCGACGGCTCCTCAACCTTGAGCCGGCCCCCTCAGGATCCCGCTCACCTCAGTCCCTCCGCTCAGCCCCGCCGCCGCTCCCGCCGCCACGCCCACCGCGCATGCGCGAGCTTCCGGGGCGGGGCCTGTGCCGCGTGTGGGCGGGGCCTGCGCCGCGTGTGGGCGGGGCCTGGGCCGCGTGTGGGCGGGGCCTGCGCCGCGTGTGGGCGGGGCCTGCGCCGCGTGTGGGCGGGGCCTGATTTGGTGTGGGCGGGACCTGTGCCGCGTGTGGGCGGGGTCTGCATTGGTGGGCGTGGCCTTGGGGTCCTGCTGAGCGCCGTGAGGGGCGCGGGGCTCGCTGCAGGTTCTGGTGGGTCCGTGCGTGTGTAGGGGTTCAGAAACCTCTTTGTGTAGGCTTTTATACAGCGTGTGGTGAGTGTTCCGGCGGGTCCCGTCTGTAGGGGCTGAGGGGATTTGGTATAGGGCTTTGAACAGTGTGTGTGGGGCCTCAGGGGCTTAGACGTACTTGAAGGCCTGTATATAGGGTCTCAGGAGTCCATATATATATGGGTTCTCTGAGGTCTGTATATAAGGTCTGAGGGGCCCGCCTATTTATACGTAGGTAGATAGTCTGAAAGCTCTATATATAGGGTGTCAGAGGCCCAGATAGACAGAGGCTCTGAAAGGCCTGTGTATGGGTTCTGAGGGACCCATATATATTTATAGGTTCTGAGGGGTCTTTATATAGTGTCTCAGGGGCCCACATAGATAGATAGACAGAGGCTCTGAAAGGCCTGTAGACAGGCTCTGAGGAGTGTATATACATAAATCTATATATATATATTCTGAAAGGTCTGTATATAGAGTCTCAGGAGCCTATCTATGGTGTATATATATATATATGTATATATATATATATATATATATGTGTGTATATATATATATATGTATATATATATGTGTGTGTGTGTATGCTCTGAAAGGCCTGCTGTATAGAGGGTCCCAGGGACCCATATCTGTAGGTCCTTCAAGGCCTGTATACAGTGTACAAGGAGCATATTTACAGGTCCCCTGAATGGTGTGTCTGTAGGGTCTGAGGGGCTTATGTACAGGTCCTGAAAGGCTTCTATGCACTGTACAAGGAGTGTCTCCATAGGTCCTGGTTAGCTGGGCTGTAGGGCCTGTGTATAGTGCCTGAAAAAGTGGTATATGGGGTCTCAGGTGCTTTTATATATCTATATAATCATAGAATGTTAAAGGGTTGGAAGGGATCTTAAAGATCATCTTGTTTTGCTGTGGACAGGGACGCCTTCCACCATCCCAGGCTGCTCCAAGCCCCATCCAACCCAGAATTGGACACTTCCAGGGATCCAGGAGCAGCCACAGCTTCTCTGGGCACCCTGTGCCAGGGCCTGCCCACCCTCCCAGGGAACAATTCCTTCCTTCTCCGGGGTGGTGGGTGGGTGTGGCAGCAGCTGCAGCCGTGCCCAGTGGCCCAGGAATGGGATGGCAGCAGGAAGGGAAAGTGAGAAAGGCACGCCTGGGTCATGTGTACCTCGGCATTCAGATCAGAGGGAGGACTCACTGCTGAGGAGGCTAATTTTAGCTATTTTAATTTCAGTTGCTTCCAGTTGCCTCTTAGGCTGGCTCTCCTCGGGCTTTAATGTACCCCCCATTAAAAAACACATTTTCCAGAGGCATAAATAGACAGCAATTGCTCTTGAGGAATCCAGGAGGCTGCTAAGTCCTGACACTGCCCTCCCACAGCGGGAACACTGTGGGGATTTTTAAGGTGAACATTTTGGCAAGGTGCAAGGGGATCCCAGAGGCTTAGAGGGGTCTCTGTGGCTGTGGTCTGGCCATCTCCAGATCCCAAAAAGGGGTGGGAGAAGCAGCCAGCAAACACTGGGTAGCTCGGATCTGAGTTGTGATGAGACAGGGATCACCATCCTGCCCAGTCCAGGGGAATTTTCCCCTCCTATCCTGTCACTCCATGAGAAACTGGGCAGTGCTCAGCTTACAGAAGGTGGCCAACACCATTCCTTTATTGGCAACTAGACTCTGACCCCCATCTCAGGGCTGTGCAGAAACCTGGAAGCACCAACCTTTCTTCTAAATAAAAGGAGATAAAAAGCACTTAGACCTGGGATCCTCCTGAATTTCCTCCTCCACCCATGCCTAATGCACCTGCAGGATTTTGCATCTATCTCCAGATGCCTGATTCTTCTGTATCACAGCCCTGGACATCTGTAGGGGTAAAATTGGCTAATCCTAAATTTAAATAACATGGAGAAAGTGATGAATCTATGGACTAAAAGATAATTTAGGATTTTTCTTCCTAGCTGGTTTATTTAATCCAAGCACTTTGGGGCATGAGCAGGTTTTCCAAAGTGATGGCTTTGCCTATGGCTTATCTCACACTCACTTTCTCTTACATCAGTGTTTTATTTGCAAGAGGGAACAATCCGTGCCTCTCTCAGCAGTGTCAGTATGGTTGATGAGGGTTTGAAGCTTAAGTTTTCCACTTTCCTACTGCAATAATATTAATTGCAAACTCTGGTGTGCTTTTCTCCAGCAATTCTTCTCAGGAGCAGCTTTCCAATATTCAACCAGTTGTAATTATAAGCACCAGGAGAAAGCCTTTTTAAATACATTATTTTATTTAGGTTTTCCAAGAGTGGAAGATGCTTCTAGCAGTAGTTTTTGACATGAAATGACAGGGTTTCATTTTGGTGCCAGTATCCTCACCCCTCTCTCTACCTGCGCCTTGGGGAGTTGTTCCCTGCTGGCTCGTTTAATTGCCTGGGGTATTGATCTCAGGGCTCATATTTAATTCCCATTTTTGTGCTTTGTAACAAGTGCACACTCAGCAGGCATTTGCTAATGAATTTTTGGCCTTTCTGCTGTGTTCAGCCTTTGCTCAAAGCCCATCTTCCCCCACCTCTGTCAAATATTCCCTGGAAATGTATAAATTCTGCCAAAAATTTTACTTTTGGTCGGTCCTAGCTCCTCTTTTATGATTAATAAATAGCTAATTACAGAATATGAATGGCTGGAGGAGTAGGGAATAGGAGAGAGTTGGGGCAGGGTCTGCTTGCAGTGCCCATCCCTGTCCTCCCTCAGAGCTGCTGGCACTGATCCCTGTAGGAAACCCCATGAGGAGGAGAGCACGGGCTCATCCTAAACGTGTCTGTGCTCCCCCAGGCAAAAAGATTTGGGGTGGGTAGTTTATCAGGAGAAGAGGTGGCTCTGACCCCAAGGGAATTCCCCATCCTGGGACTTCCTCCCTGTCCCTTTCCTGTCTTTCTAATCTTTCTTTTCCAGTTCACCCAGGCTGCATTAACCACAGTTTTGCCATTTTTACAATTTTAATCCCACTGTGCTGGGAGCTGTCCCAGGGAGAGCCTGATGTGGCAGAAAGGGAAACCCTGGCTTTGGTCCATGGGGTGCCAAGATGTGTGGGGGAACATCTTCCACTGTGGAGTCATCACTGAGGGCTTTGCTACTTAAAACCCTTGTTTGGAAGCATTTTTCCTTTCACCATCAGTTTTCAACATGACAGAAGAGGGAAATAAAACAAGCAGAGATCAAGCAAAGACTCTGCCTGGTCTGAGCAACAAAGCTCAAGAGTAGCTGCTGCTGCAATTTGTCTCCTTGGTTTTCCAAGAAAACACAAATAATCATTGAAATGCTAAATGTGGGAAGTCTGAAAGACATTGGTAAATCCTTCTAGATGGACACAATCAAGGCTTTCAACCACACTTTCCCAACCAACAAAGAGAAAGAAGGGAAAGCTGATCTCTGCAGGAAAAAACCCAACCAGAAATTAGGATTGAGGTGGAGGATTTCTCAGGGACAAACTCCAAAATGACATTGCTTGGAGGAAAGCTTAGAACACCCATCAGGGCTTGTGGAAGGCAGCACTGGAGGGAGGTGGGGATGGAAAAAGGAGAGTTGTGATGGTGTGGGAGATACTGAAGCACATCTGTGTCATCCCATGACTTGGTCGTGCTCCTCTCCATATTTTTAGAAACGCAGAGGGAGAAATAACAGGAATTAAGAAGGATCTGCCATCGGTGTTGTAGTAACTCCCAGGCCAGAGGAAAAAGTCTTTTCTAAGTAAAGTAATCCAGGTACATCATCTTTCAAGAGAAAGCTGAGCACAGATTGCTTACTTAGCACAGGTGCTGCAAGGTCTATGCTGGCAGCTCAGCCCACCATGTCTGCAACACATATATATATACACATACATATATACATACATACATATATGTATCTCCAGATGTTCTTTTACCCTTCACTGAAACTACTGTTTGGTTGGGTGCCAGTCTGACCCAGTACCCCAAATCCCTGTGCCACCTTTACGTTGCATCCGTTGTGGTATCTTTGCTGCACCCCATCTTTCTGCAGCCTCTTCCTGGTGGTCTCCCTTTCCCGGTGCTCCCCATCTCCTGGCACCCCCTCTCTAGTGCCTCCCACCTCCCTGCACCCCTTTCCCGGTGCTCCCCATCTCC